CTCGGGGCCTCACCATCTTGGACCACACAATCATCGACAAAGCGATCTCGGACCCTCATTCATCTCCTTCAAAACCTCAATGACCCTCCCAACAGGCACCCAGTCCACCTCCATCTCCTACTGCCCTTGGGAAATATCTCCCCCACTCCCTCTCGGCTGCTTTGGAGTCATCTGAACTCCTTCCTGCTGGGCTTCCTCCCGCAATGTCCTATCCTCCTCAGTCACTCTCCTCCACTGCTCCCTCTCATCAACTCTCGATTCCCTTGCTGCCCTCACTGAAGGGGCAGCACCTACTATCTCACTACCACCTTCTACTCACTAAAGTCACCATGGTACGACAGCCACTTTCGCTCCCTTCAAGCACAGGTGCGTGCCACTGAACTCAACTCAGTTAAATCAAACTTACCAATCCATCAGCAGATCTGGCTGGACCTTATCAAATCTTACTGCCCTGCCCTCTCCTCCACTAAATCGTCATTCCACTCCAAGACAATCTTGGAGGCCAAGGACAACCCCAGGCTCAGGAGGTGTCTCATCCGTCCACCCTCTCATGCTTTGCCCATCCCCAACTCCAACGCCAACAGTAAGGTGATGCTGGTCTTCCTCGAATCTAAAGTTGAGGGAATCCGCTCTTATGCCTCTGTCCTTCCATCTACTACCCCTTCCCCATCTCCCCCTCTCAACCCGGCCCCTACCCATCGCTCCATCCACAACTTCGAACCTGCTCCCCCTTCTCACTCATCACCATTCAAATCTGCATGAAACTGACCATCTGCTCCCTCGACCTCATCCATACCCCTCTCCTCACCTCTCAGCTCCATCTCCTTTCCTGTCTTCTCACAGACATCATAAATCTCTCCCTATCCACTGGTATCATTCCCATCCATTAAAAACGGACGCCATCACCCCTATCCTTTAAAAACCCTTCCTGGACCCATTTCTGATGTCAAACTGCCGCCCCATCTCCAACCTCCCTTTCCTCTCCGAGATCCTGGAATGAGTTGTTGATTCCCAGGATCGCTCCCATCCACAGCACAGAAACAACCCTGATCAAAGAGACAAATGGCATTTTGTCCACCTGCGACCACAGCTCCCTCTGACTCGTTGTCCTCCTTAACATCATTGCTGCCTACAACAATGTTCACAGCATTTTCCTCATCCTCTACCTTACCTCAACGTTCATGATTCTGAACTTGATTGGTTCAGAGCATACCTCTCACACTGCCTCCACTTCACCTCCACAAACGCTTCCTCCTCTAGCTCCAGCAACCTCTTGTGCAGCGTTCCTCAGGGCTCTGTCCTTGGCCCCTCCTCTTCAACATCTATATGTTCCCTCATGGTGACATCGGCCTCAGACGTTGGGTCAACTTCCACATGTATGTGCATGACACTCAACTGTACCTCTCTACCTCCACAATTGACTCCAGGCCACTGTTGTTCTTTCAGTCATCAATGCTGGATGAGAGCTAACTTTCTCCAATTGAATGTCAACAAGACCAAGGCCCTCCATTGGCTTCCATTAGCGCTTCCCCACCTCCGCAACATTGCCCAGCTCCACCATTGTCTCACACCACAGGCCATCAAAAGCCTTGTTCACGCATTCATAACATGGAGGCTTGACTATGCAAACACCTTGCTTGTCGGCCTCCCCAACTCCTCCCTCCATAAGCTGCAGATCATCCGGAACTCTGCAGCTCGTGTCCTATCCAGCAAAAGGCTCCATGATCCTATCGCACCTATCCTTGCCTGACTCCACTGGCTTCCCATCACTCAGACGATACAGCTCAAGATCCTGGTCCTCACATTCAAATCCCTCCATGAACTTGCGACCTCTGCGACCTCCTAACCTCATAACAACCTGCTCGCTCCCTCCGCTCAGCGGACTCTGGCCTACTTCACGTTTCAAAACTCACACATCCCACAATTAGTGGGTGGGCCTTCTGCACTCCACCCCAACCCTCTGGATCTCTATCCCGGAACATTGAAACACTGCCCTCCACACTCCCAATCCCGAACCCCAGCTCCGAAACGTTGACTGTCCAGTGCCTTGAGACGTCCTTCCATGTGAAAGGCGCTATACAAATGTATTTCTGTTGTTGTTGTTTACACATTCCAGTTGATTATTGTATAATATACAACGATTGCTCAACTGTGATCACCATTGTGTAATGAAATGCCTCTTGATATCTGTCTTAAATTGCTCTTCATACGCCTCACCTATTTTTACCAATTTTTACATTGTGAGCAACAAAACAACTGAAATCCCTCCTCCCAAATCTTTAAATGAATTATATATTCTCACTTGCTGCTTTTATCTCTTCTTCACAAGTGTCTCTTTCTGAAAAAGAACATTTTTTTAAGCAAATTTGTTTCAATCAATCGACAGGTGGATTCAGATTGTGTTATCGACTGCCTCTCCGAAGGAGGACAAACACAAGGAGAGGATGATCCATAAACAACCCATTCGGTGCCTTTAATGAAGGGAGTCTGATATCAAAAGAGGAACCGAGAGATTGTAATGGATATCAGTGATCAATTGTTTGACAAATCTCCTCTCTCAGATCAATGTCATTACCTTTATCATTCTTTTCAATTGATTCCTCTGTTGAGGAAAGCAAGAATTAGCGGGCATTCAAATATATTATGTAATATGATTATATCATGATATTAATACGTTATCTGCACATTTTATCAAATTCCAAATATCTTATTTCTGGTTGTGAGACTGAATTATATCTAATATTCTATGATATACCACGTGCATATACATAAATCTATGTGGATATAATTTAAAACACATTATTTTCTGTACCTGTAGTTTTCAAACTTTCTTTCGCTTTCTCTAAATCTAAAACAAGAAACATAAAATCTTCAGCTCAGTGCCACCTGTTTAGATGCTCCCTTGATACTGGTGAATGCCTGGTTCCTGATTTGCTTGGGAAGGTGTGATTTGCTTCCTCTGAGTGTTTGCGTTCACGTGTATGTTTGTCTACATGTCATTATCGACTGTTTATTTATATCTGTATCTGACATTAAAGTTAGCAACAGATTGAGCGAAATCATGATGTTCAAAAGACGTTCGCTGTATAAAATAGTCACAAATAGATCAAATAGCAGAGGTAGAAGAAATTTCTTCACACAGAGAGTAGTGGGAATGTGGAAATCGTTACCACAAGGAGTTGTTGAGGCAAATAGCATAGAATTATTTAAGGGAAAGCTCGAGAGGTACATGAGGGAGAAAGGAATAGAAGGTTACGCTTGAAGGTTTAGTTGAGGAAGGGCAGGAGGAGGCTCATGTGGAACATATAAACACCGGCATAGACCAGCTGAGCCGAATGGCTGTTCCTGTGCTGTATATTCTAATATATGTCAGTCAGATCAAAAATGTATTGCCGACAAAAGGAATAATAGCATTTACACTGTGATGTGTAACAGTATATGAACATTTACCCGCAGTTTGTTTAATTTTAAGATCCTCTGTAAGCAAAAAACAATTATTAAGATTCACACTTAAGTATTATTTCCTATCGATATGAATTGTATAATCAGCAGAAAAAATATCATTTTCTTATTTGAAATTCAGAAACCTCTTCCCTACCTGCTTCCTTTAGTTTTGTTTTACACTCTTCCAGCTCTGAAAAACAGAGTGATTTTTTTGTTACATAACACAATAGTGTCATGAATTGGGTACAACTCTTCTCAAACTGTATAAGTATTTCAGATAGAAACTCACAACCGTCATCACAACATGAAGCCACTGACACCCCGACCCCAACACAAACAATGACACATTTGAGCACAACAACCCAGTGTGATCTAACTGATTCCTCGCAAACTGATGTATCTGAGGATATATGTGAGGAGAGACGCTGTGAAACAAGAACTGATCAGAGCACAACCGTAATCGTGTCTTCTCACAAGAAAAATATTCAGGTCAAAGCAACAGAAGCCAAAGAATGTGATTTTGATCAAATTTTAAAGCTCACCTGTCCCTGCACTTTCTGTTTTTAATTCTATTTTTGAAAAGCCATAAAATTAGTTTAGATTGAGGGAATTCTCCAATGGGAAATGTACAACAAGAACAAAATGACCCCATGTCTGGGGATGATGTCACCGAGGGGGAGCACATAGAGGGTGAAGAGGAGGGGACCGAGGACAGTGCCCTGAGGGATACCACACGAGACAGTGCGGGGACCGGAGGAAAAGCCGTATGTGGAAACAAAATGAAGACGGTGGGAGAGGTACGACTTAAACCACTCAAGGACAGGGCCTTGAAGGTTGAGGTGGGATGACAAGCGGTGGAGGAGGATAGCGTGGTCGACCGTATCCAATGCTGCCGATAGGTCGAGGAGGACGAGGAGGCAGAGGGAGCCCTGGTCGCAGATGGTCAAGATGTCATTGGTGACCTTGACCAGGGCGGTTTCAGTGCTATGGGCAGCACGGAAACCCGACTGAAGGGGTTCGAGTAATGCATGGGTGGAGAGGGAAGAGCGCAGATGGGAGGTGACAACTCTTTCAAGGACCTTGGACAGGAAGGGCAGGTTGGAGATGGGCCGGTAGTTTGATAGCTGCAACGCATCAAGGGAGGGTTTTTTCAAAGTGGGAGTGATGGTGGCAGTTTTTAGGGGTTTATTTAACACAAATAATCTGGGCTTACTTGCTGTGTCCTCGTCCTCTGCAACAACCTCTTGCTCTAAAGCCCAAGCAAAGAATCCATTAAGCACTGCGTGAGAATACACTCATTGCCTGTTGCTGACTTTGCTCCCTTGAGCCGGGCAGCCAGAAAAGAAGCCGAGAGAAACAGAACCACCAACTGACGACCTCATGTAACTAATAATACAAGAGAACACAGTGAGGAAAGGTGAAAGGGTGAGAAGTTAAGAAGTGTTTGCAGTTTGGTATTATGTGCTGGGCGCTGCACTTGGGAAAGGATAGACTCGACTCACAACAAGGATGTTGACATGACCCATTTCACAAGGCTTTCTGGACATCAGTCTCACCTGCCAGGACTGTGAGCTTTTTACACTCTTCTATTTCTGAAAAGCAAACAAAATATTTATGAGGTATTTTTATTTCAACAGTGAATGATTCTCTTGCTTGGGGAGAACCAAACTCCAACCTACGGCTGCCGTTTCCTTTCCAACACAGTAAGAGGAACACATCACATTCACAAGAATCATCAACACATGAAATCCCAATGCACACACACGATGAAAGAGGTTGAGGTTACATAACAAATATCCACACATCAATAACTGTATAAACTGAGGCGTAATCAATGTTTCTCATATTGCGTTTAAACCTCTTCTTGTTTTCCCCACAACCATCAGAACATAAAATATTTCAATAGAAATGATATCTTTGCAGCAAAAGATGCAGAAGCTCAGTCACAGATATGACTCATGAATTTCATATCAACTTTCAAATCGTTTCAGTATTTACCTTTTTCTATGTCTTTAATCTCCGCTTCTAGAAAAATAATAGTGGTTAAACACGTTAGTTATTGAATGCTCCTTCATTAGCAACACAGCAACCTGTAAAGGCAGCGCTTTGGGACGTCCTCCCGACATGAAAGGACATCTGTGAATGTAATTTTGTTGTTGTTGTTGTGTGATATTAAGTGTTGTTGATGAAATACCACGACAGATGTTAACCGTTAACAATTACAACATCAATTTACAACTGACAATCGTATAGTTCAAAACATGCAATTATCTGAGTAATCCATGGTCTGTACAAGTGATTTCCTCAATATTTCCAACCAACTACTAATACAGATTTACCAGTAAGTTAAACACCCTGAAATCTCAGTGAAAACAAAAGCAGAATAACCTACACAAAAGAATGTTATAACCAACCAAACATCTCATCACAATACTTAAACAAATAAAAAAGTATTCTTACTTAGGGCAGAGATTTTTGCTTTAAGATCATCCTCTTCTGATAAAATTGACAAGAAATCTATGAAGCATTTGTGTCATTCATTCACTGCTGTTTTGCAACGTCCAATATTTTGCATTTCCACAGTCAGCGCCAAACCCAGGAGAAAAGCATCACAACACACACAGAAATGGGAACCCAAATAAATGTATGTTGAATGGAACTGAAATGTACCCTGGAGGTGGGAAATAACTGACCAATATAGTAAAACTTTCAAACGGGCAAGTAACTACCTTTCTTCTTTACATCCACCGGTTTCTTTTCCTCTCTTGGTTTGGCTTCATCTGCTTGGTCTGGTTCTTTTCCTTCTTCTGTTGGAGTCAGATTTCTCAATACGATGAACATTTTAAATTTTGGACCCGAACTGGGAGTCGAGATTGGAAGGCAAGGTGGGAAGGAGGGAGATTGAGTGTAGGGGGCAAGGATGAGGGATTGCAGCATGGTGTTGCAGAGAATAATGGCAGGGTTGAAGGCCTCTCTACAGTGATTGTGCAGGCAAGGCCGGGTCGTGAAGCAGGCCGGAGCCCACGGAACAGAAGCAGCGACCAGGTTGGTAGGGATTCTGGTGGTACCAGTGGTAGTGGGGATCAAGGGCATGGGACACTTAGTAGGTGAGAACCAGGATCTTGCCTGTAGCCTCTGTATGATGGAAAACCAGTGGAGACGGGCGAGGATATAATAATAATAAAATAAGGATGGGGATGATAGGGTCATAAAGCCTGGTGCTGGAGAGGAAATGGGCTACAGCGTTCTAGATGATCTGCAGCCGCTGCAGAGAGTTGTTGGGGAGGCTGACAAGCAGCTGGTTTGCATAGTCAAGCCTGAACGTTATGAAGGCATGGATGGGTGTTTTAGCGGCCGGCGGTGTGAGATGTTGCAGAGGGGTGGATGGCCGAGCGAATCATGGCACGGATATGGAGTACAAACAATAGTTGAAGTTGAAACAAGATGCCAAGGTTTTGGACTGGCTCAGTGAGGTGCAGTGTGCATCTTTGAATAGAGATGTTGTCAGCATCTGTAGTATGGAGGAGCTGCCGGGAGCTCTCATCCGGGCCTTGATGTCTGACAGACATTCTGTTGGACAGCAGTTGTCCTGGAGTCGGGGGGGGAGGCAGAGAGATAGAGTTGAGTGTCATCCGCATACATGTGGAAGTTGACCCCGTGTCTGTGGATGATGTCCCCAAGAGGGAGCAGATAATAAAAGGCTGTTTCCTTACTCGCAGCTTTCAGTCTTGCTTGGCAAGAGGTTTGTTCTGCAAAGCAAACACAGATGAGAGGGAACAATTTTATTTCCATATAAACATAGTTGGATGGTAAACACTGTACAGTCGATTGTCAATTTAGTTCAAGGTAAGAAGATTCTGCACTTTATTTCAGTCACTGTAAAACAGATTTTTTTGTCCAGTTTTACATCTATTTGAGAAACGAAAGCAAACAACAGCCAAGTTTCAGGGATCAGTTACATAAAGCAAATCAATGGCAATACCTTTTTCTCTTTCAGTAAGTAGCTTCTCTGTTGGGCAACACAGTAATTAATACACAGTGAACTATAACCCTTGAACGGAGAGACTGAAATAAACAATCAGTTACATACATCACTTGTATCATGTGGAGTCCTGTAGCTCAGTGGTTAGAGCACTCGCTTTGCAATGAGAGACCTGAGTTCAATTCCAGGCAGAGTGAAACCTTGGGCAAGTTTCCTTACTCCACACAGAGCCTAATAATAATCCCTCCAAAACCAAAACCAATAATAAATTGGTCATTTTCAATCTCCGACTGTTTGTGGGACATTGCTGCGCACAATTGGCTGCCGCGTTCGCCCACAAATATACAGTCAGTTCACTTTACAGTGTGTTCTGTGAAGCGCTTTGGGACGTCCTCCCAACGTGAAAAGCGCTATATCAAATGCAAGGATTATTATTATTATCATAACTCAAATTAATTTATATATAACATGCAAATAAACCCTTTTCTTCATTTTAAAAGAGAAAATCAATTCATATTTGTTCCGCACCTTTTTCTTTCAAGGTCCCATCAACCTTCTCAAATTCTAAACACAAGAAACAAAGTGTAAATGAGATGCCAGTGATTGTTAATGACAATAAGATGACTATGTTTTGAAATGTAGGTAAGTGATAGAAAAATACACATTGATGCCATGGGATTTTACCTTCCAATTGCTTCTTATTCGCCTTATCTGCTCAAATCAACAAAAATATTTGCATTATTTCTCACCAGCCTTGGTCACAAAAATGCGGATTCACAATACAACGTGTAAACATTTCCTTCCACATTGGCCAAAATATGGAATTGGCTGCAGTTATGAACAGTGTGTGCACCGCACATGTTCTTTTCTTAGCAGTTTCACACATATCCACCATTTTCTCACCTAATTTATTCAGTGACATTTCACACGCTTTCTTTTCTGGAATTCACATTATAATTCTTTGTGTTAACAACAAACTATAGCAGCCTTGCAACCTGTGTAACTTTATTCTTCCAAACTATTTCAGTATTAAATTGAACACAAACAGATTAAGCTGCAATAAAAGCAGTAATCGAAGTGAAAAGAAAATTTATGAAATCTTGAATCTTTTCTCAATACATACCGTCTTGTAACATGATCAATTTTTTCACTGTAAATATAATTATGTACAAATGTATATGAAAGGACCTTATGTTTGATTGTTGAATTAATTCAACTCACTCAATTATGTCCCTTGTAATAGAACCAAATATTAGTTCCCACGAATCGTAATGTAAAGCATCCAATCTACCTTCTGGTGTTAGTTTATCATAGGCTTTTTCTTCTGTTGGAATAAAAAGGATCAGAATATTAGATTTGCAAAGGGCCTGAACTACAAAACCAAATGTACATTGTGGCGGATTTGATAACATGGCAGAGCTCAAGTATATGTTTTCCAACACAACGATCGTCCAATATTGTTCAAGGAACTTCTGACGAAAAATGCATAAAAATACATCACGTGCAACGTGTGTATAGATATGTAGAGTTTATACTCACGCGCAGCTTTTAGTCCTTTCTGACAATCAGCCAGTTCTGAAAAACAAAGATCAGGAAAGTTTACTATATCATAATAATATAGACACAAAATAATGGCCACACAATAAACCTGCCAGATGTACATTGTTTACAATGCTATTGAGTTTATTTCCATTAAACTGGAACCTGAGTAAAAAGAAAAGTATCAGCGAAATTCGAAATCAATCGTAATGTAACAACATCCACCTTCTCACAATCTACCTGTTTTCTTGTCGTCCCGTTCTGCTTCTGTAAATATGATCAGGTTTGAAGAATTATTGGGGAAATGCTTTTCTTCAAAACAATCTACAAAGTTAAGGAGGTTGTGCGAATGGTGCAGTGCAGCTCAGGATGTTTCAGGTTACATTTACAATAATAATACCTCAGAGGAAACAGAAAACACAATTATCTGCCTGATTTGCCATCTGGGCATGTGCTGGGTTTTCCTACCTTAAAAGGGTTAATTATACAGAATGATCTTAAACTTTAGAAATTTTAATTTTCAGTATGGAAAGGGAAGAACAGAACAACTTTCTTTCTGAGGAAATGTTACAATGCTTAACTTAATAAAAAGTTGTCCTTACCTAAAGCTTTCTCATCCTTATCCTCTACAAGTCAAACATAATTATTACTACAGCAATCCTTGCATTTGATTTTGTGGCTAAAGTCAAATCCTCACAAACCATTTCACATGGAATTATTCGAAATCGCAACTACAACAACAAAATTACATTTATATAGCGCCTTTCTCATTTGGAGGATGTCCCAAGGCCATGGACAGTCAGGCGTCAGGACCCGAGCGTGGGTGAGTGGTGGGGTAGGGCTAAGGGAAGGCAGAGAAGTGGGAAGGTGACCAAAGGCACGATCGAAGAGGAGGGTCTTGAGACTGGCCTTGAAGGAGGCCAGGGAGGAAGCGAGGCGAAAGGGACTGTGGGATGGAGTTCCAGAGTGCGGGGGCAGAGAGGCTGAAAGCCCGATCACCGGGTTGGGCGGTAGATATGGAGCAGGCAGGTTAGAAGGGAGTCAGCAGTTCAGAGAAGCAGGAGAGGGCAAGGCCATGGATGGCCTTGAAAGTGAGGATGAGGATCTTGAATCCGATCCTCTGAAGGATGGGGAGCCAGTGGAGTCAGGGTGGCGGTGATAGGGTCACGGAGCCTGATGCGCGAGAGTACAGAAGTTGCAGAATTTTGGATTATCTGCAGATTGTGAAGGGAAGAGTTGNAGGCTGATGAAGATGGAGTTTCCATAACTGAACGTTGATGTGACGAATGCGTGGGTGAGAGTTTCAGCACCCTGAGGGGTGAGGCAGTGGCGGAGTCTGGCAATGTTGTGGATGTAGTAGTAGGCCACCCAGGTTCCTGACTAGCTTAGTGTGCAGCCATGGAGGCCGATGCTGATAGTGCGGAGGTGCAGAGTCAAGTTGCGGAGGCGCTGGCATGAGCCAATCAGGAGGCCCTCAGAGTTGCTGATGTTCAGTTGGAGAAAGTTGTCCCTCTTCCAGGACTTGATGTCGGACAGGCAGTCGATCAGGACGCCAGTAGTCCTGGAGTTGAGTGTGGAGGCAAAGTTGGGTGTCATCCGCATACATGTGGAAATTTACCCCATGCCTGCGGATGATGTCACCAAGTGGGAGCATGTAGAGAGTGAAGAGGAGGAGACCAAGGACAGAGCCCTGAGGAACACCGCATGAGATGGTGCAGGCTGGAGGAGAAGCCATTTGCAGAGGCGAAGTGGAGGCGATGTGAAAGGTAGGACCTGAACCAGTCAAGGACAGAACCTTGAAGGTAGAGGTGGGAGGAGAGGCAGTGGAGGAGGATTGAGTGGTCCACAGGATCAAAGGCGGAAGATAGGTTGAGGAGGACGAGGTGGCAGAGGGAGCCCTGGTCACATATGGTCAGGATGTCAATTGTGACCTTGACCAGAGCAGTTTCCGTGCTGTGGGCAGCAGGGAAATCCGATTGGAGGGGTTCATGGAGGGAGTGAGAGGAAAGAATGAAGCTGTGAGGCAATGGCTCTCTCAAGGACCTTGGATAGGAAGGAGAGATTTGAGATGGGCCAGTAGCTAGATAGCTGTGATGGGTCAAGGGAAGGTTTCTTCAAGATGGGGGTGATAGTGGCTGCTTTGAGGGGGTAGGAACAGTGCAAGATGACAGGGAGAGATTAATGATGTCTGCGAGTAATGAGGAAGGAGATGAAGCTGGGATTTAAGAAGAGGGGTGGGGATGGGGGTCCAGGGAGCAGGTGGTGAGTTTCATGAAGGATATGGTGGTGATGATAGAGAAAGGGGGGACAGATTCAAAGGTGTGGAAGGAGGGATGGGTAGTGGTCGGAGTGTGGGGTGGGGGGATGGAGGGGGTGGAAGTTGGGATGGCAGTGGCAGCTGAGCAGATTCCCTCAATTTTGAACTCGAGGAAGTCCAGCATTTCCTCGCAGTGGGAGTCGGAGGAAAGAATTTATGAGGCGTGGCGTATAAATGATGGGCATTTAAAGTCATTGACTGCACATTAATATCCTACATCCATAAGGCCATTGAGAAATGTATCAAGGATTTTTGGCCTGGCATTTGTAACAGTGGGAAAGGATTATCTCCAGGTCTCCTGGCCAACAATTATTCCATCAATATTTAGCCCTTATACATATTCCAAAAATGAAATAATTCTACTCACTGTATTTTCTCAGCTCTTCTCGACATTTTTTTAGTTCTGGAAACAAAATCGAAATGTATTCAACACCTTTCCTCTGAAACCAGTTTCAAAATACTAATTGCTTGATATTAAATAGAAACAGAACCAAATGGCCAACAAACAGAGCATCATTGACATCCCCAAACTTCAAACCTTTTTCTGCTAAAAAATGTTGTCCTTACCAAAATGTTTCTCATCATTAGCCTCTACAAGTCAAACACGGAATTCGTCAATTCTTCCGGATTAAACATTTTCATTTCAAACACTAGATGTGTCATTGAGGCACATTTCAACATTTCACAAGAAATTTCACATCGTCTGGAGACAATGTTAGAAGCACAATGAAGAATGTCCTTCACTTTGAAGAATGACATCTCCTCCCTTATCTCCTCCCTCAACCTCTCCCTACACATCCACTCCACACCACACCAACGTGCACCTGGTGATCACTCGTGGCCTCACCATCTCGGACCTCACCATCATCAACAAAGCAATCTCGGACCAAACTTCATATCCCTCAACTCCTCGTTGCCTCTCCCAACCAGTACCCAAACCATCTCCATCTCCTACCGCCCCTGGGAAAATATCCCCCCCCCCACTATCTCGGCTGCCTTGGAGTTATCTGAACTCCTTCCCTTGTTGGCTTTCTCCCGCAAAGACCTATCTTCCTCAGTTACTCTACTCCACAGCTCCCTCTCCTCCACTCTCGATTCCTTTGCTGCCCTCAGTTCCTGCTCATGAAAGTCACCATGTTACACCAGCCACCTCCGTTCTCTTGAATCACATGTGCTGGCTGCTGAATGCATCTGGCTTAAATCGAACTTAACGATCCATCGGCAGATCTGGCTGGCTCGTCTTCGCAATCACCAAAGGTCTCATCCGCCCACCCTCTCATGCCTCGCCCCTCCCCGCATCCAATGCCAACTGTGAGCCAATGCTGGCTTTCCTCAACTCCAAAGTCGTGGGGATCCACTCAGCTGCCTCTGCCCTTCCATCTACTAGGCCCTCCCCATCTCCCTTTCTCACACCTGTGCCTACCCAACACTCCCTCCACATCTTAAAACCTGTCTCCCCCTCCTCTCTCATCACCACTATAACCCACATGAAACTGACCAACTGATACCTCGAACCCATCCTTAACCCTCTCCTTACCTACCAGCTCCACCTCCTAGCCTCTCTTCTCAAAGACATCATAAACCTCTCCCTGTTCACTCTACCATACCACCCCTTTAAAAGCAGACATCAACACTCCTATCCTTAAAAAATCCTCCCTGGACCCATCCTGCTCTCAAACTACGGCCCCATCCACAACCTCCCTTTCCTCTCCAAGGTCCTGGAATGAGTCATTGATTCCCAGCTTTGCTCCTTCCTCTCCTGCCAATCCCTTCACGTTGCCCTCCAATCGGGTTGTTATGCCACCCACAGCACAGAAACTTCCCTGGTCAAAGTGACAAATGACATTCTGTCCATCTGCGACCAGGGCTGTCTCTGCCTCCTCATCCTCCTTGACCTCTCTGCTGCCTACAACACTATTGACCAATCTATCCTCATCCATCACCTCTCGTCTCACCTCAACCTTCACGGTTCTGCCCTTGAATGGTTCAGATTGTACCACTCAAACCACCTCCACTTCATCCCCACAAACGGTTTCTCCTCTAGCCCCCGCAGGATCTCGTGCGGCGTTCCTCAAGGCTCTGTCCTTGGACCCTCCTCTTCAACATCTAAATGCTCCCTCTTGGTGACATCATCTGCAGACATGGGGTCAACTTCCACATATATGTAGATGACACCCAACGCTACCTCTTTGCCTCCACCCTCGACTCCAGGATGACTCCTGTCCTGATAGAGTATTTGGATGAGAGCTAACTTCAATTGAATATCATCAAGACCGAGGCCCTACTGATTGGCTCCCATCAGTGCTTCCTCACATCCACCCCATCTCCTTGCCCTGTCACTGTCTCACACCGCAAGTTGCCAAAACCCTCATACACACATTCATAATATCAAAGTTTGAATACGCAAACGCCTTGAGTGTTGGACTCCCCAAATCCTCCCCCAAAAGCTGCAGATCATCCAGAAATCTGTAGTTCATATCCATCAGTTCAAGATTGTGGTTCACACATTCAAAACCCTCCATGGCCTTCCACTCCACTACATCTGAGACCTCCTAACCTCCTACCATCCTGCCCGCTCACTCCGCTCAGCGGGCTCCGGCCTGCTTCACGTTCCCAGCCTCATCTGCCCCACAATTGGCGAGTTGCGCTTCTGCCACTCTGCCCCACCCTCTGGAACTCCATCCTGCAAGTCCCTCTGCCTCGCCCCCTCCCTTGCCACCGTCAAGACTGATCTCCATACCCTCCACTTAGACTGTGCTTTCGATTAATCTGCTTTCCCCACTGACCTCCACCCTCCCCAATCCTGACCTGCAGCTCCAAAACACTGACTGTCCAGTGCCTTCGGATTTCCTCCCATGTGTCCTCGCATGCACTATACAAATTTAGTTGTGTTGTTGTTGTTCACACATTCCAGTTTATTACTGTTTAATATACGATTGCTCAACTTTGATCACCATTGTGTAATGAAATGCCTCTTGATATCTGCCTTAAATTGCTCTTCATACGCCTCACCTATTTTCACCAATTTTCATATTGTGAGCAACAAAACAAATAACATCCCTCCTCCCAAATCTTTAAATGAATTATATATTCTTACTTGCTGCTTTTATCTCTTCTTCACAAGTGTCTCTTTCTGATAAAGAATATTTGATGAAGCAAATTTGTTTCAATCAGTCGACAGATGGCTTCAGATTGTGTTATCGACTGCCTCTCCGAAGGAGGACAAACACAAGGAGAGGATGATCCATGAATAACCCATTTGGTGCCTTTAATGAAGGGAGTCTGATATCGAAAGAGGAACCGAGAGATTGTAATGGATATCAGTGATCAAACGTTTGACAAATCTCCTCTCTCAGATCAACTTAATTACCTTTATCTTTCTCTTCAATTGATTCTTCTGTTGAGGAAAACAACAAATAGCGGGCATTCAAATATATTATGTAATATGACTATATCATGATATAAAACGTAAACTGCACATTTTAGAAAATTCCAAAGTCTTATTTCTGGTTGTGAACCTGAATTCTATTCAATATTCTATGATATATCATGTGCACATACACAAATCTACATTTATATAATTTAGATTGCACTATTTTCTGTACCTGTAGTTTTCAAGCTTTCTTTCACTTTCTCTAAGTCTAAAACAAAAAAGATAAATTCTTCAGCTGTTTAGATCCTCCCTTGATTCTGGTGAATGCCTTGTTCCTGTTTTGTTTGGAAGGGTATAATTTTCTGCTTCTGAGTGTGAGTGTGTGTATGTTTTTCTTTTTGTCGTTGTCAATTGTTTATTCGTATCTATATCGAAGATTGAGGTTAGCAACAGTGTGAAATTGGGTTCAAGCATTTGTCAGAAACCACACCAAGGATATTATTAAAATGTTTTATTAGAAATTATAAAACCACACAAGCCTAAGCATCAAATTACACCCGACGCATTATCATTACTCATCCGCTTAAATGACAACTGAAGCACTATCTTAACAAGATACACTCAATACTAAAATTCTAAACATGTGTAAAAACAATATTATGTGATATATGAAATGTGCCTAAATAATCTCGAACTGTTTTGTGTGTATGTTGGCTGTGTGTTTTAGTAAGTAGAAGAGATACTACCGAGCAGCAGGAAATAGTAATGAAATTCTAAAGCTGGCACAAAAGTCAAACATTGTCTCTTGTGTGCTGTTGGCTGCAAATGGCTTCTTTCTGGCTGTAAACGTGTCTGGTGGTCCACTCCGGCGAGAGCTGGACGTGTTGCCTTTGGAGTCCACTCCATAGAGGTTTGTCCCTTTCCTCTGCTCAGAGGCTCCAAAAAACTTGTTTTGCTACCGATTTTTATAACCTTTTTCGCCAGCCATCCGTGTTCTAACTCTTTTTTCCCCCATGACTTCTTTCCCGCTCTGTGCACTTTCCCAGGCATTCTTTCCCTATCTTCAAGTTGTTTTTCTTGTACCAGCTGGTAGTATCTTCTGCAGGAGAACAATTGGACCCGAACTGGGAGTCGAGATTGGAAGGCAAGGTGGGAAGGAGGGAGATTGAGTGTAGGGGGCAAGGATGAGGGATTGCAGCATGGTGTTGCAGAGAATAATGGCAGGGTTGAAGGCCTCTCTACAGTGATTGTGCAGGCAAGGCCGGGTCGTGAAGCAGGCCGGAGCCCACGGAAACAGAAGCAGCGACCAGGTTGGTAGGGATTCTGGTGGTACCAGTGGTAGTGGGGATCAAGGGCATGGGACACTTAGTAGGTGAGAACCAGGATCTTGCCTGTAGCCTCTGTATGATGGAAAACCAGTGGAGACGGGCGAGGATATAATATAATAAAAATAAGGATGGGGATGATAGGGTCATAAAGCCTGGTGCTGGAGAGGAAATGGGCTACAGCGTTCTAGATGATCTGCAGCCGCTGCAGAGAGTTGTTGGGGAGGCTGACAAGCAGCTGGTTTGCATAGTCAAGCCTGAACGTTATGAAGGCATGGATGGGTGTTTTAGCGGCCGGCGGTGTGAGATGTTGCAGAGGGGTGGATGGCCGAGCGATCATGGCACGATATGGAGAAAACAAAGTTGAAGTTACACAAGTGCCAAGGTTTTGGACTGGCTCCGTGAGGTGCAGTGTGCATGCTTGGATGGTGATGGTGTCAGCGCCTGTGGTGTGGAGGAGATGACGGGAGACAATCAGGAGAGCCTCGATTTTGTTCACATCAATTGAAGAAAGTTAGCTCTCATCCCGGCCTTGATGTCTGACTGACATTCTGTTGGACAGCAGTTGTCCTGGAGTCGGGGGGAGGCAGAGAGATAGAGTTGGGTGTCATCCGCATACATGTGGAAGTTGACCCCGTGTCTGTGGATGATGTCCCCAAGAGGGAGCAGATAACAAAAGGCTGTTTCCTTACTCGCAGCTTTCAGTCTTGCTTGGCAAGAGGTTTGTTCTGCAAAGCAAACACAGATGAGAGGGAACAATTTTATTTTCATATCAATATAGTTGGATGGTAAACGCTGCACAGTCGATGGTCAATTTAGTTCAAGGTAAGAAGATTCTGCACATTACATCAGTCACTGTAAAACAGATTGTTTTGTCCAGTTTTACATCTATTCGAGAAACGAAAGGAAACAACAGCCAAGTTTCAGGGATCATGTTACATAAAGCAAATCGATGGCAATACCTTTTTCCCTTTCAGTAAGTAGCTTCTCTGTTGGGCAACACAGTAATTAACACACAGTGAACTATAACCCTCGAACGGAGAGACTGAAATAAACAATCAGTTACATACATCACTTATATCATAACTAGAATATATATTATCATAAGAAATAATCCATTTATAATATAATATTCATTCATATTTGTTCCGCACCTTTTTCTTTCAAGGTCCCATCAACCTTCTCAAATTCTAAACACAAGAAACAAAGTGTAAATGAGATGCCAGTGATTGTTAATGACAATAAGATGACTATGTTTTGAAATGTAGGTAAGTGATAGAAAAATACACATTGATGCCATGGGATTTTACCTTCCAATTGCTTCTTATTCGCCTTTCTGCTCAAATCAACAAAAATATTTGCATTATTTCTCACCAGCCTTGGTCACAAAAATGCGGATTCACAATACAACGTGTAAACATTTCCTTCCACATTGGCCAAAATATGGAATTGGCTGCAGTTATGAACAGTGTGTGCACCGCACATGTTCTTTTCTTAGCAGTTTTACACATATCCTCCACTTTCTTACCTAATTTATCCAGTGATATTTCACACGCTTTCTTTTCTGGAAATCACATGATAATTCTTTGTGTTAACAAAAAACTAGCAATCCTACAAACTGTGTAACTTTATTCTTCAAAAGTATTGCAGTATTAAATTGAACACAAACAGATCAAAATGCAATAAAAGTAATTGAAGCTAAAAGAAAATTTCTTCAAACCTATAAAATCTTGAATCTTTTATCAATACATACCGTCTTGTAACATGATCAGTTTTTTCACTGTAAACATAATTATGTACAGATGTATATGAAAGGACCTGATGTTTGATTGTTAAATTAATTCAACTCACATCAATTATGTTCTCTTGTAAAATAATCAAATATTAGTTGCCCACTGATCATAATGTAAAGCATCCAATCTACCTTCTGGTGTTAGTTTATCATAGGCTTTTTCTTCTAATGGAATAAAAAGGATCAGAATATTAGATTTGCAAAGGACCTCATCTACAAAACCAAATGTACATTGTGGTGGATTTGATAACATGGCAGAGCTCAAGAATATGTTTTCCAACACAACGATCGTTCAACGAAATATTGTTCAAGGAACTTCTGATCAAAAAGCAACAAATACATCACTTCCAACGTGTGTATAGATATGTAGACTTTATACTCACGCGCAGCTTTCAATTCTTTCTGACAATCAGCCAGTTCTGAAAAACAAAGATCAGGAGATTTTACTATATCACAATAAAATAAACACACAATAAACCTGCCAGATGTACATTGTTTACAATGCTATTGAGTTTATTTCTATTAAACTGTAACCTGAGCAAAAGGAAAAGTATCAACGAAATTCGAAATCAATCGTAATGTAACAACATCCACCTTCTCACAATCTACCTGTTTTCTTGTCGTCCCGTTCTGCTTCTGTAAATATGATCAGGTTTAAAGAATTATTGGGGAAATGCTTTTCTTCAAAACAGTCTACAAAGTTCGGGAGGTTGTGCGAATGGTGCAGTGCAGCTCAGGATGTTTCAGGTTACATTTACAATAATAATACCTCAGAGGAAACAGAAAACACAATTATCTGCCTGATTTGCCATCTGGGCATGTGCTGGGTTTTCCTACCTTAAAAGGGTTAATTATACAGAATGATCTTAAACTTTAGCAATTTAAATCTTCAGTTTGGAAAGGGAAGAACAGAATAACTTTCTTTCTGAGGAAATGTTACAATGCTTAACTTAATAAAAAGTTGTCCTTACCTAAAGCTTTCTCATCCTTATCCTCTACAAGTCAAACATAATTATTACTACAGCAATCCTTGCATTTGATTTTGTGGCTAAAGTCAAATCCTCACAAACCATTTCACATGGAATTATTCGAAATCGCAACTACAACAACAAAATTACATTTATATAGCGCCTTTCTCATTTGGAGGATGTCCCAAGGCCATGGACAGTCAGGCGTCAGGACCCGAGCGTGGGTGAGTGGTGGGGTAGGGCTAAGGGAAGGCAGAGAAGTGGGAAGGTGACCAAAGGCACGATCGAAGAGGAGGGTCTTGAGACTGGCCTTGAAGGAGGCCAGGGAGGAAGCGAGGCGAAAGGGACTGTGGGATGGAGTTCCAGAGTGCGGGGGCAGAGAGGCTGAAAGCCCGATCACCGGGTTGGGCGGTAGATATGGAGCAGCAGGTTAGAAGGGAGTCAGCAGTTCAGAGAAGCAGGAGAGGGCAAGGCCATGGATGGCCTTGAAAGTGAGGATGAGGATCTTGAATCCGATCCTCTGAAGGATGGGGAGCCAGTGGAGTCAGGGTGGGGGTGATAGGGTCACGGATCCTGATGCGCGAGAGTACAGAAGTTGCAGAATTTTGGATTATCTGCAGATTGTGAAGGGAAGAGTTGGGAAGGCTGATGAAGATGGAGTTTCCATAACTGAGCGTTGATGTGACGAATGCGTGGGTGAGAGTTTCGGCACCCTGAGGGGTGAGGCAGTGGCGGAGTCTGGCAATGTTGCGGATATAGTAGTAGGCCACCCAGGTTCCTGACTAGCTTAGTGTGCAGCCATGGAGGCCGATGCTGATAGTGCGGAGGTGCAGAATCAAGTTGCGGAGGCGCTGGCATGAGCCAATCAGGAGGCCCTCAGTCTTGCTGATGTTCAGTTGGAGAAAGTTGTCCCTCTTCCAGGACTTGATGTCGGACAGGCAGTCGATCAGGACGCCAGTAGTCCTGGAGTTGAGCGTGGAGGCAAAGTTGGGTGTCATCCGCATACATGTGGAAATTTACCCCATGCCTGCGGATGATGTCACCAAGTGGGAGCATGTAGAGAGTGAAGAGGAGGGGACCAAGGACAGAGCCCTGAGGAACACCGCATGAGATGGTGCAGGCTGGAGGAGAAGCCATTTGCAGAGGTGAAGTGGAGGCGATGTGAAAGGTAGGACCTGAACCAGTCAAGGACAGAACCTTGAAGGTAGAGGTGGGAGGAGAGGCAGTGGAGGAGGATTGAGTGGTCCACAGGATCAAAGGTGGAAGAGAGGTCGAGGAGGACGAGGTGGCAGAGGGAGCCCTGGTCACATATGGTCAGGATGTTAATTGTGACCTTGACCAGAGCAATTTCCGTGCTGTGGGCAGCAGGGAAATCCGATTGGAGGGGTTCATGGAGGGAGTGAGAGGAAAGAATGAAGCTGGGAGTCAACGGCTCTCTCAAGGACCTTGGATAGGAAGGAGAGATTTGAGATGGGCCGGTAGCTAGATAGCTGTGATGGGTCAAGGGAAGGTTTCTTCAAGATGGGGGTGATAGTGGCTGCTTTGAGGGGGTAGGAACAGTGCAAGATGACAGGGAGAGATTAATGATGTCTGCGAGTAATGAGGAAGGAGATGAAGCTGGGATTTAAGAAGAGGGGTGGGGATGGGGGTCCAGGGAGCAGGTGGTGAGTTTCATGAAGGATATGGTGGTGATGATAGAGAAGGGGGGACAGATTCAAAGGTGTGGAAGGAGGGATGGGTAGTGGTCGGAGTGTGGGGTGGGGGGATGGAGGGGGTGGAAGTTGGGATGGCAGTGGCAGCTGAGCAGATTCCCTCAATTTTGAACTCGAGGAAGTCCAGCATTTCCTCGCAGTGGGAGTCGGAGGAAAGAATTTATGAGGCGTGGCGTATAAATGATGGGCATTTAAAGTCATTGACTGCACATTAATATCCTACATCCATAAGGCCATTGAGAAATGTATCAGGATTTTTGGCCTGGCATTTGTAACAGTGGGAAAGGATTATCTCCAGGTCTCCTGGCCAACAATTATTCCATCAATATTTAGCCCTTATACATATTCCAAAAATGAAATAATTCTACTCACTGTATTTTCTCAGCTCTTCTCTACATTGTTTTAGTTCTGGAAACAAAATCGAAATTTATTCAACAACTTTTCTCTGAAACCAGTTTCAAAATACTAATTGCTTGATATTAACTTGAAACAGAAACAAATGGCCAACAAACAGAGCATCATTGACATCCCCAAACTTCAAACCTTTTTCTGCTAAAAAATGTTGTCCTTACCAAAATGTTTCTCATCATTAGCCTCTACAAGTCAAACACGGAATTCGTCAATTCTTCCGGATTAAACATTTTCATTTCAAACACTAGATGTGTCATTGAGGCACATTTCAACATTTCACAAGAAATTTCACATCGTCTGGAGACAATGTTAGAAGCACAATGAAGAATGTCCTTCACTTTGAAGAATGACATCTCCTCCCTTATCTCCTCCCTCAACCTCTCCCTCCACATCCACTCCACACCACACCAACGTGCACCTGGTGATCACTCGTGGCCTCACCATCTCGGACCTCACCATCATCAACAAAGCAATCTCGGACCAAACTTCATATCCCTCAACTCCTCGTTGCCTCTCCCAACCAGTACCCAAACCATCTCCATCTCCTACCGCCCCTGGGAAAATATCCCCCCCCCACTATCTCGGCTGCCTTGGAGTTATCTGAACTCCTTCCCTTGTTGGCTTCTCCCGCAAAGACCTATCTTCCTCAGTTACTCTACTCCACAGCTCCCTCTCCTCCACTCTCGATTCCTTTGCTGCCCTCAGTTCCTGCTCATGAAAGTCACCATGTTACACCAGCCACCTCCGTTCTCTTGAATCACATGTGCTGGCTGCTGAATGCATCTGGCTTAAATCGAACTTAACGATCCATCGGCAGATCTGGCTGGCTCGTCTTCGCAATCACCAAAGGTCTCATCCGCCCACCCTCTCATGCCTCGCCCCTCCCCGCATCCAATGCCAACTGTGAGCCAATGCTGGCTTTCCTCAAATCCAAAGTCGTGGGGATCCACTCAGCTGCCTCTGCCCTTCCATCTACTAGGCCCTCCCCATCTCCCTTTCTCACACCTGTGCCTACCCAACACTCCCTCCACATCTTAAAACCTGTCTCCCCCTCCTCTCTCATCACCACTATAACCCACATGAAACTGACCAACTGATACCTCGAACCCATCCTTAACCCTCTCCTTACCTACCAGCTCCACCTCCTAGCCTCTCTTCTCAAAGACATCATAAACCTCTCCCTGTTCACTCTACCATACCACCCCTTTAAAAGCAGACATCAACACTCCTATCCTTAAAAAATCCTCCCTGGACCCATCCTGCTCTCAAACTACGGCCCCATCCACAACCTCCCTTTCCTCTCCAAGGTCCTGGAATGAGTCATTGATTCCCAGCTTTGCTCCTTCCTCTCCTGCCAATCCCTTCACGTTGCCCTCCAATCGGGTTGTTATGCCACCCACAGCACAGAAACTTCCCTGGTCAAAGTGACAAATGACATTCTGTCCATCTGCGACCAGGGCTGTCTCTGCCTCCTCATCCTCCTTGACCTCTCTGCTGCCTACAACACTATTGACCAATCTATCCTCATCCATCACCTCTCGTCTCACCTCAACCTTCACGGTTCTGCCCTTGAATGGTGCAGTTTGGTATTATGTGCTGGGCGCTGCACTTGGGAAAGGATAGACTCGACTCACAACAAGGATGTTGACATGACCCATTTCACAAGGCTTTCTGGACATCAGTCTCACCTGCCAGGACTGTGAGCTTTTTACACTCTTCTATTTCTGAAAAGCAAACAAAATATTTATGAGGTATTTTTATTTCAACAGTGAATGATTCTCTTGCTTGGGGAGAACCAAACTCCAACCTACGGCTGCCGTTTCCTTTCCAACACAGTAAGACGAACACATCACATTCACAAGAATCATCAACACATGAAATCCCAATGCACACACACGATGAAAGAGGTTGAGGTTACATAACAAATATCCACACATCAATAACTGTATAAACTGAGGCGTAATCAATGTTTCTCATATTGCGTTTAAACCTCTTCTTGTTTTCCCCACAACCATCAGAACATAAAATATTTCAATAGAAATGATATCTTTGCAGCAAAAGATGCAGAAGCTCAGTCACAGATATGACTCATGAATTTCATATCAACTTTCAAATCATTTCAGTATTTACCTTTTTCTATGTCTTTAATCTCCGCTTCTAGAAAAATAATAGTGGTTAAACACGTTAGTTATTGAATGCTCCTTCATTAGCAACACAGCAACCTGTAAAGGCAGCACTTTGGGACGTCCTCCCGACATGAAAGGACATCTGTGAATGTAATTTTGTTGTTGTTGTTGTTGTGTGATATTAAGTGTTGTTGATGAAATACCACGACAGATGTTAACCGTTAACAATTACAACATCAATTTACAACTGACAATCGTTTAGTTCAAAACATGCAATTATCTGAGTAATCCATGGTCTATACAAGTGATTTCCTCAATATTTCCAACCAACTACTAATACAGATTTACCAGTAAGTTAAACACCCTGAAATCTCAGTGAAAACAAAAGCAGAATAACCTACACAAAAGAATGTTATAACCAACCAAACATCTCATCACAATACTTAAACAAATAAAAAAGTATTCTTACTTAGGGCAGAGATTTTTGCTTTAAGATCATCCTCTTCTGATAAAATTGACAAGAAATCTATGAATATTTTTCTCTTTCTCTTTGACAGTGCCTTCAGCTCCCCTCTTGACTCTCTTCCCCCTCCTCGCTCCCTCCCTTCCTCCCTCACCCTGACCATTTCCCCCCTCCTTGCTCCCTCCCTTCCCTCCCCTCACCCTGACCATTTCCCCCTCCTCGCTCCCTCCCTTCCCTCCCCTCACCCTGACCATTTCCCCCCAATGCTCGGGTCATGACCCAACTGTGCAGCGCCTTGGGACGTCCTCCTGACGTGAAAGGCGCTTTATAAATGGAATCTTGTTGTTGTTGTTGTTGTTGTATGAAGCATTTGTGTCATTCAGTCACTGCTGTTTTGCAACGTCCAATATTTTGCATTTCCACAGTCAGCTCCAAACCCAGGAGAAGAGCATCACAACACACACAGAAATGGGAACCCAAATAAATGTATGTTGAATGGAACTGAAATGTACCCTGGAGGTGGGAAATAACTGACCAATATAGTAAAACTTTCAAACTGGCAAATAACTACCTTTCTTCTTTACATCCACCGGTTTCTTTTCCTCTCTTGGTTTGGCTTCATCTGCTTGGTCTGGTTCTTTTCCTTCTTCTGTTGGAGTCAGATTTCTCAATATGATGAACATTTTTAAATTATTTTGTTCAGCATCAAAATGTAAAGTGTGTACTAAATGGCCAACAACAACTAAATTTCATTTGTAAAGCACCTTTCACATCGGGAGGATGTCCCAAGGAGTTGGACATGGAATGTTTTGGACCCAAATTCAGAGTGGAGATCGGGGAGGTTCAAAGGCAGGGTGGGCACGAAGGTGATTGAAGGGAGGGGGCAAGGAAGAGGGACTGCAGCATGGAGCTCCAGACGGTGAGGGCAGGGTTGAAGGCCTCCATCAGTGGTGGGGCTGGCGAGGTGTGGGAAGAGAAGCAGGCCGGATCACGCTGAGCAGAGGGAGTAAGCAGGTAGGTAGAGGTTCTGGAAGTCCAGAGGTAAGAGGGGAGCAAAGCCATGGAGGAGATTGAAGATGAGGACCAACATCTTGAACTGTCTGCTGTGTTATAAGAAGCCAGTGGAGTTGGGCAAAGTTGGGGTTTTGCAGAGAGATCTTGGGGAGGCTGACAAGCAGTGTGGATATTATCAATGCATGGATGAGGGTTGTGGCGGCCAAAGGTGTGAGACGGTAGTGGAGTCGGGCGATGTTGCAGAGGTAGGGAAGGCCGAACATGGCACAGATGTGGGGAAGAAAGAATAGTTGAATTTCAAACAAGATGCCAAGATTTCAGACTGCCTCAGTGAGGAGCAGTGTGCAAATTTGGATAGCGATGGTGTCAGTGCCTGTGGTGTGGAGGACATGAAGGGAGTCAATCAGGAGAGCCTCGGTTTTGTTGACTTCCAACGAAGAAAGTTAGCTCTCATCCAGCCCTTGATGTCTGACAGACATTCTGTTGGACAGCAGTTGTCCTGGAGTCGGGGGGGAGGCAGAGAGATAGAGTCGAGTGTCATCCACATACATGTGGAAGTTGACCCCGTGTCTTTGGATGATGTCCCCAAGAGGGAGCAGATAAGAAAAGGCTGTTTTCTTACTCGCAGCTTTCAGTCTTGCTTGGCAAGAGGTTTGTTCTGCAAAGCAAACACAGATGAGAGGAAATAATTTAATTTTCATATGAACATAGTTTATATTTCGAGAAACAAAAGGAAACAACAGCCAAGTTTCAGGGATCAGTTACATAAAGCAAATCGATGGCAATACCTTTTTCTCCTTCAATAAGTAGCTTCTCTGTTGGGCAACACAGTAATTAACACACAGTGAACTATAACCCTTGAACGGAGACTGAAATAAACATTACTTATATCATAACTAGAATTAATTTATATATAACATGCAAATAAACAGTTCACTTTATTTTAAAAGAGAAAATCAATTCATGTTTGTTCCGCACCTTTTTCTTTCAAGGTCCCATCAACCTTCTCAAATTCTAAACACAAGAAACAAAGTGTAAATGAGATGCCAGTGATTGTTAATGACAATAAGATGACTATGTTTTGAAATGTAGGTAAGTGATAGAAAAATACACATTGATGCCATGGGATTTTACCTTCCAATTGCTTCTTATTCGCCTTTTCTGCTCAAATCAACAAAAATATTTGCATTATTTCTCACCAGCCTTGGTCACAAAAATGCGGATTCACAAAACAACGTTTCCTTCCACATCGGCCAAAATATGGAATTGGCTGCAGTTATGAACAGTGTGTGCACCGCACATGTTCTTTTCTTAGCAGTTTTACACATATCCTCCACATTCTTACCTAATTTATCCAGTGATATTTCACACGCTTTCTTTTCTGGAAATCACATTATAATTCTTTTGTTAACAACAAACTACAGCAGCCTTACAACCTGTAAAACTTCATTCTTTCAAAATATTGCAGTATTAAATTGAAAACAAATAGATTAAAATGCAATAAAAGCAGTAATAAAAGCTAAAAGAAAATTTCTTCAAACATATGAAATCTTGAATCTTTTCTCAATACATACCGTCTTGTAACATGATCAGTTTTTTCACTGTAAAAATGATTAGGTACAAATGTATATGAAAGAACCTTATGTTTGATTGTGGAATTAATTCAACTCACATCAGTTATATTCATTTATAAGAGAACCAAATATTAGTTGCCCACAGATCGTAATGTAAAGCATCCAATCTACCTTCTGGTGTTAGTTTATCATAGGCTTTTTCTTCTATTGAAATAAAAAGGATCAGAATATTAGATTTGCAAAGGGCCTGAGCTACAAAACCAAATGTACATTGTGGTGGATTTGATAACATGGCAGAGCTCAAGAATATGTTTTCCAACACAACGATCGTTCAACGAAATACGACACATTGTTCAAGGAACTTCTGACAAAAAGGGCAACAAATACATCACATCCAACGTGTGTATAGATATGTAGACTTTATACTCACGCGCAGCTTTCAATTCTTTCTGACAATCAGCCAGTTCTGAAAAACAAAGATCAGGAGAATTTACTATATCACAATAAAATAGTAACACAATAATGGCCACACAATAAACATGAGAGATGGACAATTGTTTACAACATATTCAGTTTATTTCTATTAAACTGTAACCTGAGAAAAAAGAAAAACATCAGTGAAATTTGAAATCAATCGTAATGTAACAACATCCACCTTCTCACAATCTACCTGTTTTCTTGTCGTCCCGTTCTGCTTCTGTAAATATGATCAGGTTTAAAGAATTATTGGTGAAATGCTTTTCTTCAAAACAGTCTACAAAGTTCGGGAGGTTGTGCGAATGGTGTAGAATAGTGAACGGTGTTGTGCAGCTCAGAACAAAACACAAATTACTGCAGATGCTGAAGTCTGAAACAAAAACAGAGAGAGCTGGGAAAACTCAGCAGGTCAGGCAGTATCTATGGAGAAAGGAAAGTGAGTTAATGTTTTGGATCCACAACACTTTGAAGGGTCGTGGATCCAAAACATTGATGACTTTCCTTTCTCCATAGGTGCTACCTGACCTGCTGAGTTTTCCCAGCTCTCTCTGTTTTAGTGCAGCTCAGGATGTTTCAAGTTACATTTACAATAATAATACGTCAGAAAGAACAGAAAACACAATTATCTGCCTGATTTGCCATCTGGGCATGTGGTGGGTTTTCCTACTTTAAAAGTGGTTCATTATACAGACTGATAAGCATCTTTAACATTCAGTATGGAAAGTGAAGAACAGAACAACTTTCTTTCTGAGTAAATACTTCATTGCAGTCTTAACTTAATAAAATGTCGCCCTTACCTAAAGCTTTATCATCATTATCCTCTGCAAATTTCATTCTTACTGCATCAATCCTTGCATTTGTTTTAGTGCCTAAAGTCAAACCCTCTCAAAGCATTTCATATGGAATTATTCTGAATCATAAATAAAGGGCATAAATAAAGACATGGACTGCACATTAGCATCTTACATCCAGAAGGCCATTGAGAACTATATTGAGGATTTCTGGCCTTTATTTGTCACAGTGGGAAAGAATTATCTCCAGGGCTCCTGGCCAACAATGTTCACAATTATTTCATAGATATTTAGCCCTGATACAAACTTCAAAAATCATAGAATCATAGAATCGTCCAGTACAAAAAGAGCCATTCGGCCCATAGAGTCTGTGCCGGCTCTTTGAAAAGAGATGATGTCAACCACTCCGGCCTTGGTCCTACCTGCAAACCGTCTTCAACACCATCAGTGTTTAAAAGTGAATCGATCGCCTTCACCGCTTTTCACAATGGTTCCTTCAAACAACACTGCGTATAATTTTACACAATCTTCACTCATTTCTAAAGCAAATCCTCTCAGCATTTCAATGAATTATTCTGAACAAATAATGCATAGCATGAATTAATCATCTAGCATTGAATATGGTTTGCTCATGCCAGTGGATTATCTCAGGTCTCTGCAACAATATTTTTATCAGATATTACCTTACAGCTCCAAAATGAAATACTACATGATTCTACTCCTCGACATTTTTATTCTGAATCTGTATCAACATCTTTTCTCTGAAACCAGTTTTAAAATACTAATTGTTTGATATTAACTTGAAACAGAAACAAATGGCCAACAAACAGAGCATCATTGACATCCCCAAACTTCAAACCTTTTTCTGCTTCTTTTAGATCTGTCTGACATTTGGTTACTTCTGGAAACCAAAACAATGAACGGGTTAAACATTTTCATTTCAAGCCATAGATGGTCCATTTGGGAATCAGAGGCACATTTCAACATTTCACAAGAAACAAAAGATTCGTCTGGAGACAATGTTAGAAGCAAAATGAAGAATGCCCTTCACTTTGAAGAATGCCGTCTCCTCCCTTATCTCCTCCCTCAACCTCTCTCTCCACATCCACTCCTCACCTACTTCACGGTCACCCCTCAACCTGGTGATCACTTAGGGCCTCACTGTCTCGGACCTCACCATCATCAACTAAGTGATCGCGAACATCATTCATCTCCTTCAACTACTCAATGCCTCTCCCAATGGCACCCATCCCACCACCAGCTCCTACCGCCCCTCGGAAAAGATCTACCCCTCCATCTCGGCTACATTGGAGTCTTCTAAACTGCTTGAGTGAGCAAATCAAATCCCTCCTCCCATATGTTTAAATAACTTCTTTATTCTCACTTGCTGTTTTTATGTCTTCTTCACAAGTGTCTCTATCTGAAAAAGAACATTTGATTAAGCAAATTTGTTTCTATCAGTCGACAGGTGGCTTCAGATTGTGTTATCGTTCTACTCCAAGACAATCTTTCAGGTTTGACCCTTCACGTCCCCTGCCTCGCTCGCTCCACTATTGGCGGTCGGGCCTTTGCCACTCTGCCCAACCCTCTGGAACTCCATACCGTTGTCCCTCCGCCTCGACCCCTCCCTTGTCACCTTCAAGACCCATCTCAATCCTGCTTTTGATCTCCTGCTCCCCCCCTGCCCTCCACACTCCCGACCATGAACCCCAGCTCGGGTCAAAAATTCTGTCTGTCCAGCGTTTTGGGAAAACGATATACAAATGTGATTTTGCTGTTGTTTGTTAACCTCTACCTCTCTGAAGGAGGACAAACACAAGGAGAGGATGATCCACAAACAACCCATTCGCTGCCTTTAATGAAGGGAGTCTGATATCAAGAGAGGAACCGAGAGATTGTAATGGATATCAGTGATCAATTGTTTGACAAATCTCCTCTCTCAGATCAATGTCGTTACCTTCATCATTCTTTTCAATTGATTCCTCTGTTGAGGAAAGCAAGAATTAGCGGGCATTCAAATATATTGCGTAATATGATTATATCATGATATTAATACGTTATCTGCACATTTTATCAAATCCAAATGTCTTATTTCTGGTTGTGAGACTGAATTACATCTAATATTCTATGATATACCACGTGCATATACATAAATCTATATTGATATAATTTAAAACACATTATTTTCTGTACCTGTAGTTTTCAAACTTTCTTTCGCTTTCTCTAAATCTAAAACAAGAAACATAAAATCTTCAGCTCAGTGCCACCTGTTTAGATGCTCCCTTGATACTGGTGAATGCCTGGTTCCTGATTTGCTTGGGAAGGTGTGATTTGCTTCCTCTGAGTGTTTGCGTTCACGTGTATGTTTGTCTACATGTCATTATCGACTGTTTATTTGTATCTGTATCTGACATTAAAGTTAGCAACAGATTGAGCGAAATCATGATGTTCAAAAGACGTTTGCTGTATCAGATACCAATTAATCAAGAAAACCATTTCCAGTATTTAAACCTGGAAAATAAAAACCTAAATGGAGCAAAGGGACCTGGGGCTACACACAGACACAATTCACTAAAAGTAGCAAACCACGTTAATAAGGCCATAAAAAAGGCAAACCAGGCATTGGGGTTCATTTCTAGAGGGATAGAATGGAAACCAGGGAAGTTATGGGAACCATCTGCAGAACCTTGGTTAGACCACACTTAGAATACTCGGTGCAGTTCTGCTCCACACATTATAGAAGGGATGTCGAGGCACTGGGGAGGGTGAGAAGGAGATTCACAAGGATGATCCCAGACCTGAGAGGTTATACTATGAGGAAAGACTGAACATTCTTGGACTCGTTTCTCTTGAAAAGAGGACGGTAAGGGGTGACCTGATAGAGGTCTTTAAAATGAAGAAAGGTTGTGATAGGATAGACATAGGGAAGATGTTTCCACTTGAGGAAGAGATCAAAACCAGGGGATATCAATATAAAATAGTCACAAATAGATCAAATAGCAGAGGTAGAAGAAATTTCTTCACACAGAGAGTAGTGGGAATGTGGAAATCGTTACCACAAGGAGTTGTTGAGGCAAATAGCATAGAATTATTTAAGGGAAAGCTCGAGAGGTACATGAGGGAGAAAGGAATAGAAGGTTACGCTTGAAGGTTTAGTTGAGGAAGGGCAGGAGGAGGCTCATGTGGAACATATAAACACCGGCATAGACCAGCTGAGCCGAATGGCTGTTCCTGTGCTGTATATTCTAATATATGTCAGACAGATCAAAAATGTATTGCTGACAAAAGGAATAATAGCATTTACACTGTGATGTGTAACAGTATATGAACATTTACCCGCAGTTTGTTTAATTTTAAGATCCTCTGTAAGCAAAAAACAATTATTGAGATTCACACTTAAGTATTATTTCCTATCGATATGAATTGTATAATCAGCAGAAAAAATATCATTTGATTATTTAAACTCAGAAACCTCTTCCCTACCTGCTTCCTTTAGTTTCGTTTTACACTCTTCCAGTTCTGAAAAACATAGTGATTTTTTTGTTACATAAACAATAGTGTCATGAATTCGTGGACAACTCTTCTCCCACTGTATTAGTATTTCAGATAGAAACTCACAACCGTCATCACAACATGAAGCCACTGACACCCCGACCCCAACACAAACAATGACACATTTGAGCACAACAACCCAGTGTGATCTAACTGATTCCTCGCAAACTGATGTATCTGAGGATATATGTGAGGAGAGACGCTGTGAAACAAGAACTGATCAGAGCACAACCGTAATCGTGTCTTCTCACAAGAAAAATATTCAGGTCAAAGCAACAGAAGCCAAAGAATGTGATGTTGATCAAATTTTAAAGCTCACCTGTCCCTGCACTTTCTGTTTTTAATTCTATTTTTGAAAAGCCATAAAATTAGTTTAGATTGAGGAATTTCTCCAATGGGAAATGTACAACAAGAACAAAATTACCCCATGTCTGGGATGATGTCACCGAGGGGGAGCACATAGAGGGTGAAGAGGAGGGGACTGAGGATAGAGCCCTGAGGGATACCACAGTGCGGGAGCCGGAGGAAAAGCCGTTTGTGGAAACAAAATGAAGACGGTGGAAGAGGTACGACCTAAACCACTCAAGGACAGGGCCTTGAAGGTTGAGGTGGGATGACAAGTGGTTGAGGAGGATTGCGTGGTCGACCGTATCCAATGCTGCCGATAGGTCGAGGAGGACGAGGAGGCAGAGGGAGCCCTGGTCGCAGATGGTCAAGATGTCATTGGTGACCTTGACCAGGGCGGTTTCAGTGCTATGGGCAGCACGGAAACCCGACTGAAGGGGTTCGAGTAATGCATGGGTGGAGAGGGAAGAGCGCAGATGGGAGGTGACAACTCTTTCAAGGACCTTGGACAGGAAGGGCAGGTTGGAGATGGGCCGGTAGTTTGATAGCTGCAACGCATCAAGGGAGGGTTTTTTCAAAGTGGGAGTGATGGTGGCAGTTTTTAGGGGTTTATTTAACACAAATAATCTGGGCTTACTTGCTGTGTCCTCGTCCTCTGCAACAACCTCTTGCTCTAAAGCCCAAGCAAAGAATCCATTAAGCACTGCGTGAGAATACACTCATTGCCTGTTGCTGACTTTGCCGCCTTGAGCCGGGCAGCCAGAAAAGAAGCCGAGAGAAACAGAACCACCAAGTGACGACCTCATGTAACTAATAATACAAGAGAACACAGTGAGGAAAGGTGAAAGGGTGAGAAGTTAAGAAGTGTTTGCAGTTTGGTATTATGTGCTGGGCGCTGCACTTGGGAAAGGATAGACTCGACTCACAACAAGGATGTTGACATGACCCATTTCACAAGGCTTTCTGGACATCAGTCTCACCTGCCAGGACTGTGAGCTTTTTACACTCTTCTATTTCTGAAAAGCAAACAAAATATTTATGAGGTATTTTTATTTCAACAGTGAATGATTCTCTTGCTTGGGGAGAACCAAACTCCAACCTACGGCTGCCGTTTCCTTTCCAACACAGTAAGAGGAACACATCACATTCACAAGAATCATCAACACTTGAAATCCCAATGCACACTGTTGGAATGTATATATGTATTATATACAACCAGAAGGAGTTGTATGCTCTGATTGGCCTCCTCTTTTTGTTAGTTTTAGATAAGAAAGTGTTCTGATTAAGCACGTAGAATAGTGAAAAACAAGCCCAAATAAGGCAGACTGAAACTGCAGGAGACAAAAAAAGAAACAAAAAGAAACAATAGGTATATAAGCTTGGGCTAAGGGGTGGTCTTTAGAGATCTCTCCAGGGCAGACTTGGTTCGTGGAACAGAAGGACCAGTTGTATTGCTCTGTTATTTTTTTTATATAGAGACGGAGGGTGCGAAACTTAAATTGGGGCAAAAGGATAAAAAGGTGTTCAAATATTGCATGTGGAAGATAGTCGAGAAGGAGTTGTCCGACAGGGAGTCAGTCAAGAAGTTGAGTGGTGAGTGTAAAGAGGGGGCAGCAGCGCTGGACACGCTGACTGCCGAAAGAGAAAAGGAGAGAGTGGAGCGGGAGATAGAAAGGAAACTTTTAACTGCCGACAGGGAGAAGGGGAAGATGGAATGGGAACTGGAATGGAAAACTCAGCGGACAAATGAGCGCTTCCTAGAAAGTGAGTGTAATAGGAAGAAGATTAATAGCGACATTGGGATTCAGCACATCGCTGATCTGATACAGTGCAAGGCCGAGAAAAAGCAGTTAGAAGAGGAGGTTGGTAGTCTGACAGTGCATACTAGGGACCTGGAGGTTGCCCTCAAGTATAAAATGGGAATGACGGTAAGTCATGACCACGCTGCATGCGAAAGGAGGATTCGGGAGATGGAGGAAAAATTGGGAGTACAGAGGGCAGTGATATTGGTCTGTACAGGGAGTAAGGTGACTAACTCCGGGAACGGGATAGACTGGGGAAGTCTGGAGGAGGAAGCCGCACGATACCATGATAGTGAAAACGAGAATGAGTTGAGGTTACATAACAAATATCCACAGATCAATAAAGCTCATACTAATAGATATGAGTCATGAATTTGATATAAACTTTTAAATCGTTTCAATAGTTACCTTTTTCTATGTCTTTAATCTCCGCTTCTAGAAAAATAATAGTGGTTAAACACATTAGTTTTGAATGCTCCTTCATTAGCAACACAGCAACCTGTAAAGGTGGGATATTATGTGTGTGATGAGGTTCTGCAATAGATGCCAATCGATAACAATTACAACATGAGTTTACAACTGACAATCGTATGGTTCAAAACATGCAATTATCTGAGTAATCCATTGTCTGTACAATGGATTTCTTTAATATTGCCAACCAGCTACTTATACAGATTTACCAGCAGGTTAAACACCCTGAATTCTCAGCGAAAACAAAACAACAACAACAAATTACATTTATAGAGCGCCTTTCACGTCGGGAGGACGTCCCAAAGTGCTGAACAGTCAGGTGGAGGGGTGGGGTAGGTGTGAGGGAAGGCAGAGAGGTGGGAAGGCGAAGAGAAGGGTTTTGAGAACGGCCTTGAAGGAGGCAAGGGAGGAAGCGAGGCAAAGGGATCGTAGGATGGAGTTCCAGAGTGTGCAGGCAGAGAGGCTGAAAGTCCGGCCACCAACGGTAGGGAGGCATGAGCAGGCCGGAGCCTACTGAATGGAGGGAGCAAGCAGGTTGATAGGGAGTCAGCAGGTCAGAGACGTAGGAGGGGGTAAAGCCGTGGATGGCCTTGAAAGTGAGGACGAGGATCTTGAATTCGATCCTCTGAGGAATGGGGAGCCAGTGCTTTCGGGTGAGGGCGGGAGTGATGGGTTCACGGAGCCTGGTTCACCAGGCACGGAGCCTGGTGTGCAGAGTTTTGGATTATCTGCAGTTTGTGAAGGGAAGAGTTGGAAAGGCCGATGAGGATAGATTTTCCGTAATCGAGCCTTGATGTGACGAATGCATGGATAAGGGTTTCAGCATCCTGAGGGGTGAGGCAGTGGCAGAATCTGGCAATCTTGCGAGGTGGTAGTAGGAGGTGCCGGTCATGGCGCAGATGTGGAGGAGAAACGACACTTCAGGGTCAAACAAGACACCCAGGTTCCTGACTGGCTTTGTGAGGTTGAGCGTGCAGCCTTGGAGGTTGATACTGCCAGTGCCCGAGGTGCGGAGGCGCTGGCGCGAGCCAATCAGGAGGGCCTCAGTGTTGCTGACGTTGAGTTGGAGAAAGTTGTCCCTCATCCAGGACTTGATGTCGGTCAGGACCCCAGTAGACCTGGAGTTGAGGGGGAAGGCAGAGAGATAGAGTTGGGTGTCATCCGCATACATGTGGAAATTTACCCTATGTCTGCAGATGATGTCACCAGAGTGAAGAGGAGGGGACCAAGGACAGAGCTCTGAGATACATCTCCAGAGACGGTGCGGGGGCTGCAGGAGAAGCTGTTTGCTGTGACGAAATGGAGGTGATGTGAAAGGTAGGACTTGAACCAGTCAAGGACAGAATCTTGAAGGTTGAGGTGGGAGGAGAGGCAATGGGTCAAGGGAAGGTTTCTTCAAGACGAAAGTGATAGTGATTGTTTTGAGGAGGGAAGGAACAGTGTCAGATGACAGGGAGAGGTCAATGATGTTGGCGAGTAGTGGGGCAAGAATTAGAGCTGATATTTAAGGAGGGGGGTGAGGATGGGGTTCAGGGAGCAGGTGGTTGGCTTCATGGAGGGTATGGTGGTGAAGACAGTGGAGGGGGTGACAGATTCAAAGGTGTGGAAGGAGGGATGGGTAATTGTCAGAGTGTGGGGGAGGGGGAGGGATGGGTTGGAAGTTGGGGGGGCAGTGGCAGCTGAGCAGATTCCCTCGATTTTGGACTCGAAGCCAGCATTTTCTCCCAGTGGGAGTCAGAGGGAAAAATCGGCTAGGCATGGCAGGGAAGGCAGAGGAGCAGAGGTGGTGGAGAACAGGATCCTGGGGTTGCCCTTCGCCTCCAGGATTAACCTGGAATAGAAGGATGATTTGGCTGAGGCGAAAGCGGAGCGATAGGTTTTGATGAGGTCCAGCAGATATGACGTTCGGCAGCCTGCACCTGGCCCTTAAGCAAGCGATGGTGGCTGGTGAACCAGGGTGAGGATCGGGAATAGGAGGCAGTTTGGGAGGTGAGGGGGTTAAGGACATTGAGTGTGGTGGAGAGGGTGCTGTGGAGAAGAGTGAGTGCAGCGAGTGAGTTGTTGCGAGAGGTGGGCCAGAGGGGAAAGAGTTCAGAGGACTCCAGGGCAGTGGAGAGGGATTGAGGGGCGATCTTCTTCCATGGGTAGTAGAAGATGGTGGTAGGTTTGGAGTCAGTGGGGTGAAGGATATGGGAGTTGAGGGAGATGAAATGGTCGTTAGAGATGGCCTTGTCAGTGATGGTGACATCCGAGATGCTGAGGCCCCGGGTGATCACCAGGTCGAGTGGGTGACCATGGGTGTGGGTAGCAGAATGGATGTGGAGGGAGAGGTTGAGAGAGGAGAGGAGAGACGAGAAATCTGAGGAGGTGGAGCAGGACGCAGTGAAGTGGAGGTTGAAGTCACCTCGGATAATGAGACGGTTGGAGCAGAGGCAGAGGGAGGCTAGGAGGGTTGGAGATGTCAGAGATGAAGGAGGGGGAGGATTTGGTGGGGGGGCAATAAATTAGGAGGATTTTTAGAGAGAGGTGGGAGGGATGGCAGAGGGTGCGGTGTTCAAAAGAGGGGAATGAGCCTGTGGAGTAGGGGGATAGGGCAAGTGATATGAGAGCCACACCACTGCCATGACATTTGGGACGTGGGGCATGGTGGTGGGTGTAGCCAGTTGGTGTGGCCTCAGTGAGGGGGAAGGTGACACCTGGGGTGATCCAGGTTTCCGTGAAGGCCATAATGTCAATGTTCCCAACAAGGATGAGTTCATTGACGGCCAGGTCTTGTTGCAGATGGAGCAGATGTTTTGAAGGCCAATGCAGAGTGGACAGTTGGCAGGGGGATGTGTGGGATGGGAGGGGGTAGTGGATTGGTTGGTAGGGAGGGTGGGGATGTGGATGAGGGAGGAGAGGTTATCCCTCGGGGTCTACGTCCGGGGTGGCTTTTGGCGGTAGTAGGGAATGGGGCAGTCGATGTTGCTGCTGCAGGATAACAAAAGCAGAATAACCTACACAAAAGAGGGTTATAGCCAACAAAACATCTCTCACAATACTTAAATAAGTAAAAACGTATTCTTACTGAGGGCAGAGATTTTTTCTTTTAGATCATCCTCTTCTGATAAAATTGACAAAAAAATCTATGACGCATTTGTGTCATTCAGTCATTGCTGTTTTGCAACGTCCAATATTTTGCATTTCCACAGTCAGCGCCAAACCCAGGAGAAAAGCATCACAACACACACAGAAATGGGAACCCAAATAAATGTATGTTGAATGGACTGAAACGTACCCTGGAGGTGGGAAATAACTGACCAATATAGTAAAACTTTCAACCAAGCAAGTAACTACCTTTCTTCTTTACATCCACCGGTTTCTTTTCCTCTCTTGGTTTGGCTTCATCTGCTTGGTCTGGTTCTTTTCCTTCTTCTGTTGGAGTCAGATTTCTCAATATGATGAACATTTTTAAATTATTTTGTTCAGCATGAAAATGTAAAGTGTGTACTAAATGGCCAACAACAACTAAATTTCATTTATAAAGCACCTTTCACATCGGGAGGATGTCCCAAGGAGTTGGACATGGAATGTTTTGGACCCAAATTCAGAGTGGAAGATCGGGGAGGTTGGAGGGCAGAGTGGGAAGGAAGGTGATTGAAGGGAGGGGGCAAGGAAGAGGGACTGAAGCATGGAGCTCCAGAGGGTGTGGGCAGGGTTTAAGGCCTCCCATCAATGGTGGTGCTGGCGAGGCGTGGGAAGTGAAGCAGGCCGGAGCATGTTGTGCGGAGGGTGTAGGCAGGTTAGTAGGGGTTCTGGAAGTCCAGAGTAAGGCCATGGAGGGGTTTGAAGGTGAGGACCAGAATGTTGAACTGTCTGCTGTGTTATAAGAAGCCAGTGGAGTTGGGCAAAGTTGGGGTTTTGCAGAGAGATCTTGGGGAGGCTGACAAGCAGTGTGGATATTATCAATGCATGGATGAGGGTTGTGGCGGCCAAAGGTGTGAGACGGTAGTGGAGTCGGGCGATGTTGCAGAGGTAGGGAAGGCCGAACATGGCACAGATGTGGGGAAGAAAGAATAGTTGAATTTCAAACAAGATGCCAAGATTTCAGACTGCCTCAGTGAGGAGCAGTGTGCAAATTTGGATAGCGATGGTGTCAGTGCCTGTGGTGTGGAGGACATGAAGGGAGTCAATCAGGAGAGCCTCGGTTTTGTTGACTTCCAACGAAGAAAGTTAGCTCTCATCCAGCCCTTGATGTCTGACAGACATTCTGTTGGACAGCAGTTGTCCTGGAGTCGGGGGGGAGGCAGAGAGATAGAGTCGAGTGTCATCCACATACATGTGGAAGTTGACCCCGTGTCTTTGGATGATGTCCCCAAGAGGGAGCAGATAAGAAAAGGCTGTTTTCTTACTCGCAGCTTTCAGTCTTGCTTGGCAAGAGGTTTGTTCTGCAAAGCAAACACAGATGAGAGGAAATAATTTAATTTTCATATGAACATAGTTTATATTTCGAGAAACAAAAGGAAACAACAGCCAAGTTTCAGGGATCAGTTACATAAAGCAAATCGATGGCAATACCTTTTTCTCCTTCAATAAGTAGCTTCTCTGTTGGGCAACACAGTAATTAACACACAGTGAACTATAACCCTTGAACGGAGACTGAAATAAACAATCAGTTACATACATCACTTATATCATAACTAGAATAATTTATATATAACATGCAAATAAACAGTTCACTTTATTTTAAATTGAGAAATCAATTCATGTTTGTTCCGCACCTTTTTCTTTCAAGGTCCCATCAACCTTCTCAAATTCTAAACACAAGAAACAAAGTGTAAATGAGATGCCAGTGATTGTTAATGACAATAAGATGACTATGTTTTGAAATGTAGGTAAGTGATAGAAAAATACACATTGATGCCATGGGATTTTACCTTCCAATTGCTTCTTATTCGCCTTTTCTGCTCAAATCAACAAAAATATTTGCATTATTTCTCACCAGCCTTGGTCACAAAAATGCGGATTCACAAAACAACGTGTAAACATTTCCTTCCACATCGGCCAAAATATGGAATTGGCTGCAGTTATGAACAGTGTGTGCACCGCACATGTTCTTTTCTTAGCAGTTTTACACATATCCTCCACTTTCTTACCTAATTTATCCAGTGATATTTCACACGCTTTCTTTTCTGGAAATCACATGATAATTCTTTGTGTTAACAAAAAACTAGCAATCCTACAAACTGTGTAACTTTATTCTTCAAAAGTATTGCAGTATTAAATTGAACACAAACAGATTAAAATGCAATAAAAGTAATTGAAGCTAAAAGAAAATTTCTTCAAACTTATGAAATCTTGAATCTTTTATCAATACATACCGTCTTGTAACATGATCAGTTTTTTCACTGTAAACATAATTATGTACAGATGTATATGAAAGGACCTTATGTTTGATTCGTGAATTAATTCAACTCACATCAATTATGTTCTCTTGTAAAATAATCAAATATTAGTTGCCCACTGATCATAATGTAAAGCATCCAATCTACCTTCTGGTGTTAGTTTATCATAGGCTTTTTCTTCTAATGGAATAAAAAGGATCAGAATATTAGATTTGCAAAGGGCCTGATCTACAAAACCAAATGTACATTGTGGTGGATTTGATAACATGGCAGAGCTCAAGAATATGTTTTCCAACAATCGTTCAACGAAATACGACACATTGTTCAAGGAACTTCAGACAAAAAGGGCAACAAATACATCACATCCAACGTGTGTATAGATATGTAGACTTTATACTCACGCGCAGCTTTCAATTCTTTCTGACAATCAGCCAGTTCTGAAAAACAAAGATCAGGAGAATTTACTATATCACAATAAAATAAACACACAATAAACCTGCCAGATGTACATTGTTTACAATGCTATTGAGTTTATTTCTATTAAACTGTAACCTGAGCAAAAAGAAAAGTATCAGTGAAATTCGAAATCAATCGTAATGTAACAACATCCACCTTCTCACAATCTACCTGTTTTCTTGTCGTCCCGTTCTGCTTCTGTAAATATGATCAGGTTTAAAGAATTATTGGGGAAATGCTTTTCTTCAAAACAGTCTACAAAGTTCGGGAGGTTGTGCGAATGGTGTAGAATAGTGAACGGTGTTGTGCAGCTCAGAACAAAACACAAATTACTGCAGATGCTGAAGTCTGAAACAAAAACAGAGAGAGCTGGGAAAACTCAGCAGGTCAGGCAGTATCTATGGAGAAAGGAAAGTGAGTTAATGTTTTGGATCCACAACACTTTGAAGGGTCGTGGATCCAAAACATTGATGACTTTCCTTTCTCCATAGGTGCTACCTGACCTGCTGAGTTTTCCCAGCTCTCTCTGTTTTAGTGCAGCTCAGGATGTTTCAAGTTACATTTACAATAATAATACGTCAGAAAGAACAGAAAACACAATTATCTGCCTGATTTGCCATCTGGGCATGTGGTGGGTTTTCCTACTTTAAAAGTGGTTCATTATACAGACTGATAAGCATCTTTAACATTCAGTATGGAAAGTGAAGAACAGAACAACTTTCTTTCTGAGTAAATACTTCATTGCAGTCTTAACTTAATAAAATGTCGCCCTTACCTAAAGCTTTCTCATCATTATCCTCTGTAAGTCAAACACGGAATTCATCAATTCTTACTGCATCAATCCTTGCATTTGTTTTAGTGCCTAAAGTCAAACCCTCTCAAAGCATTTCATATGGAATTATTCTGAATCATAAATAAAGGGCATAAATAAAGACATGGACTGCACATTAGCATCTTACATCCAGAAGGCCATTGAGAACTATATTGAGGATTTCTGGCCTTTATTTGTCACAGTGGGAAAGAATTATCTCCAGGGCTCCTGGCCAACAATGTTCACAATTATTTCATAGATATTTAGCCCTGATACAAACTTCAAAAATCATAGAATCATAGAATCGTCCAGTACAAAAAGAGCCATTCGGCCCATAGAGTCTGTGCCGGCTCTTTGAAAAGAGCAATGTAATGTCAATCCCACTCCCCGGCCCTTTCCCCATAACCTGCAAACCCGTCCTCCTCAAACACCCATCCATTGTGTTTTTAAAAGTTGATATCGAATCGGCCTCGACCGCCCTTTCAGGCAATGGGTTCCAGATTCAAACAACTCACTGCGTGAAAAAAATTCTTCTCACCAAATGAAATAATTCTACTCACTGTATTTTCTCAGCTCTTCTCGACATTTTTTTAGTTCTGAAAACAAAATCGAAATTTATTCAACACCCTTTCACTGAAATCAGTTTCAAAATACTAATTGCTTGATATTAAATAGAAACAGAACCAAATGATCAACAAACAGAGCATCATTGACATCCCCAAACTTCAAACCTTTTTCTGATTCTTTTAGATCTGTCTGACATTTGGTTAATTCTGGAAACCAAAACAATGAACGGGTTAAACATTTTCATTTCAAGCTATAGATGGTCCATTTGGGAATCAGAGGCACATTTCAACATTTCACAATGTTGGGATTTCTGATCCCGAGAGTTCGAAATATGACCCAACAATCCAAGATGGTGCTATGATTCTATTATTATAAGACAATGAGCTTAATAGTGTGTAAAGAAGAGTATACTACCGGTTAATCCACGTAGAACAAAAGTGGAAGAAAATTTCTTGGCTGTCGTCACGCACTTGCCCTGGTTTCGCTGCCCAGTTCCCTCACTCCCCTCCTGCCAGCTGGGTACTCACTGACTTCTTTTTCTTTTTCCTTCAATAATTATACACTTTTCTGGATTCTTGTTAACTACCTTCTTCCCTCTCTCAACTCGTCCTGCACGTACTCATCCTAATCAATCATTGGCCTGGCGCCAGCGTGACCCATGTTGATAAGGTGCATCTCTATTGTCTTGTCTATAATGATGTTATTCGGGACTGGCCTTGGGACCTTCTTTGAGTAGTTTATCCTTCTTAATTGGGAGGTCTACTTCTTATCTTCCGAGGCCTGGCACATGATGTTTGGCAGACCTTTTTCCCTCCAGTTCTAGCTGGTACCCAAGGTTACAATAACACTTAGGAATGTGCATCTGGAGAGAGGAGAGATAACGGGTACCATGGTTCCAGCCTGTGCCACATTCCGTTAGTAAGAAAGCTAATTTGGCGCCCATTTTGACCTATGTTAATACAATTAATTAATCATATAAAAGAATGGATATAAAATCTTGTTCTATTCTAAATGATTACAGGGGAATCTTTATATACCAACAACAAGAAACAAAAGATTTGTCTGGAGACAATGTTAGAAGCAAAATGAAGAATGCCCTTCACTTTGAAGAATGCATTCTCCTCCCTTATCTCCTCCCTCAATCTCTCCCTCCATATCCACTCCTCACCCACGTCCACGGTCATCCCCTCAACTTGGTGATCACTCAGGGTCTCACTGTCTCGGACCTCACCATCATCGAGAAAAGTGATCTCGGACCATCATTCATCTCCTTCAACTACTCAATGCCTCTCGAAAATAGCACCCAACCCACCATCATCTCCTACCGCCCCTGGGAAAAAATCTCCCCCTCTCCATCTCGGGTGCCTTGGAGTCATCTGAACTTCTTCCCCTCTGGGTATCCTACTGCAATGAACTTTGCTCCTCGGTCATTCTCCACAGCTCCCTCTCCTCCATTCTCAATTCGCTTGCTGCCCTCATTTCCTGAACCGTCTCCTACTCGTGAAAGTCACCATGGTACACCAGCCACCTCCGCTGCTTGAAAGCACAGGTGTGTGCCACTGAACACACCTGCCTTAAATAGAACTTATGGTCCATCGGCAGATCTGGCTGGACCTTATCAAATCTTAACACTCCCCCTCACCTCCGCTAAATCGTCATTCTACTCTAAGACAATCTTTGAGGCCAAGGACAACTCCAGGCTCGTCTTCTCCCTCACCAACCAGCTCATCCGCCCACCCTCTCACCTCCAATGGCAAGTTCGAGGCCATGCTGGTCTTCCTCCAATTCAAAGTCAAGGGGATCCACTCAGCAGCCTCTGTCCTTCCATTGCCTGCCCCCTCCCCATCCCCCCCTCTCACACCGGGCCCTACCCATTCATCCCCTCACTCCTTCGTAACATGTCTCCTGTTCATCTCATCATAACTATAAACCACATGAAACCGAGCACCTACTCCTTGAACCCATTCCTATCCCTCGCCTTATCTCTCAGGTCTACCGCCCCGTTTCTAACCTCCCTTTCCTCTGGAAGTTCCTGGAATGAGTCATTGCTTCCCAGCTTCGCTCCTTCCTCTCCCGCCACGAACTTCATAAACGCCTCGAATTGAGTTTCCATGCCACCCACAGCAGAGAAACAAACCTGGTCACAGTGACAAATGACATTCTGTCCATCTGTGACCAGGCCTCCCTCTGCCTCCTCGTCCTCTCTACTACCTTCAACAACAATGATCCCTCTATCTTCATCCTCCACCTCTCCTCTCACTTCAACCTCCATGGTTCTGTCTTTGAACGTCGAGGCTTGACTATTTAAACACCTTGTTTGATGGTTTCACAAACTCCTCCCTCCATAAGCTGCAGGTCATCCAGAACTCTGCAGCTCATGTCCTCTCCTGGCAGCAGTCTCCGTGACCCTAACTCCACCCGACTCCACTGGCTTGCCATCACTCAGAGGATACAGCTCAAAATTCTGTTCCTCACCTTCAAAACCCTCCATGGCCTCGTTCCCCACTACCCCAGTGACCTCCTAATCTCCTACCATGTTGCCCACTACCTCCACTCAGGAGGGCTCAAGCGTGCTTCACGTCGCCAGCCGACTGCCCACGAATTCAAGGGTGGGCCTTATTCTGCCATACCTCCTGGAACTCCATTCTGCAGTCCCTACACCTCGTCCTCTCCCTTGCGCCTTCAAGACCAATCTCCATACCCTCCACTTAGACCATGCTGTTGATCAACCTGCTTTCCCCACTGACCTCCACACTCCCAATCCCGACCCCCAGCTCCGAAAAACTGACTGTCCAGTGCCTTGGAATATCCTCCCTATGTGAAAAGAACTATTCAAATGTATTTGTCTTGTTGTTGTTCACACATTACAATTGATTATTGCATAATATACAACTATTGCTCAACTTTGATCACCATTGTGTAATGAAATGCCTCTTGATATCTGTCTTAAATTGCTCTTCATACGCCTCACCTATTTTTACCAATTTTCACATTGTGAGCAACAAAACAACTAAAATCCCTTCTCCCAAATCTTTAAATGAATTATATATTCTTACTTGCTGCTTTTATCTCTTCTTCACAAGTGTCTCTTTCTGAAAAGGAACATTTGATTAAGCAAATTTGTTTCAACCAATCGACAGGTGGATTCAGATTGTGTTATCGACTGCCTCTCCGAAGGAGGACAAACACAAGGAGAGGATGATCCATGAACAACCCATTTGGTGCCTTTAATGAAGGGAGTCTGATATCAAAAGAGGAACCGAGAGATTGCAATGGATATCAGTGATCAAACAATTGATAAATCTCCTCTCTCAGATCAATGTAATTACCTTTATCATTCTTTTCAATTGATTCCTCTGTTGAGGAAAATAGGAATTAGCGGGCATTCAAATATATTACGTAATATGATTCTATCATGATATTAATACGTTATCTGCACATTTCAGAAAATTCCTGAAAATTCCAGAAAAAGCTGAATTATTTTTAATATTCTATGATATACCACGTGCATATACATAAATCTATAGTGATATAATTTAAAACACATTATTTTCTGTACCTGTAGTTTTCAAACTTTCTTTCGCTTTCTCTAAATCTAAAACAAGAAACATAAAATCTTCAGCTCAGCTGTTTGCGTTCACGTGTATGTTTGTCTACATGTCATTATCGACTGTTTATTGTATCTGTATCTGACATTAAAGTTAGCAACAGATTGAGCGAAATCATGATGTTCAAAAGACGTTTGCTGTATCAGATACCAATTAATCAAGAAAACCATTTCCAGTATTTAAACCTGGAAAATAAAAACCTAACTGGAGCAAAGGGACCTGGGGCTACACACAGACACAATTCACTAAAAGTAGCAAACCACGTTAATAAGGCCATAAAAAAAAGGGGGTCATCAATATAAAATAGTCAAAAATAGATCAAATCGGGAAGTTAGAAAAAATTTCTTCACACAGAGAGTAGAGGGAATGTGGAACATGCTACCAACATGCTACCACATGCTGTATAATCTAACATATGTCAGTCAGATCAAAAATGTATTGCCGACAAAAGGAATAATAGCATTTACACTGTGATGTGTAACAGTATATGAACATTTACCCGCAGTTTGTTTAATTTTAAGATCCTCTGTAAGCAAACAAAACGACTGTTAAGATTCACACTTATCTATCATTTCCTATCCATATGAATTGTATAATCAGCAGAAAAAATATCATTTTCTTATTTTAAACTCAGAAACCTCTTCCCTACCTGCTTCCTTTAGTTTTGTTTTACACTTTTCCAGCTCTGAAAAACATAGGGATTTTTTTGTTACATAACACAATAGTGTCATGAATTCGGGACAACTCTTCTCCCACTGTATTAGTATTTCAGATAGAAACTCACAACCATCATCACAACATGAAGCCACTGACACCCCGACCCCAACACAAACAATGAAACATTTGAGCACAACAACCCAGTGTGATCCAACTGATTCCTCACAAACTGATGTATCTGAGGATATATGTGAGGAGAGACGCTGTGAAACAAGAACTGATCAGAGCACAACCGTAATCGTGTCTTCTCACAAGAAAAATATTCAGGTCAAAGCAACTGAAGCCAAAGAATGTGATGTTGATCAAATTTTAAAGCTCACCTGTCCCTGCACTTTCTGTTTTTAATTCTATTTTTGAAAAGCCATAAAATTAGTTTAGATTGAGGGATTTCTTCAATGGGAAATGTAGATACTTTTGCTTTGGGAGTTTCTTGTAATTAATATTCAATCAACGTTTGAATATATGACACAAATTTCAGTCAAGTACAAAATATAAACCTCAGACCATATGTAAAATCAAGGTTTTTATAGCTTCCTCATAAATTATTCATACGGATTTAAAAAAAACATACAAGAAAACTTATTTATTTTCAGGAAAACATAACCAGTGTTTGTAAAGTGCTAAACACATCAGAAAGCGTCTCTGAGAACTTCAAAAAGATATGGTCGGACGCCCTTTGATAAACTGGACAATGTAAAAGTTAGAATTGATACAACAGATCGGACACTAATAAATAAATTCTGCCTGAACTTTTAACACAAATAATCTGGGCTTACTTGCTGTGTCCTCGTCCTCTGCAACAACCTCTTGCTCTAAAGTCCAAGCAAAGAATCCATTAAGCACTGCGTGAGAATACACTCATTGCCTGTTGCTGACTTTGCCCCCTTGAGCCGGGCAGCCAGAAAAGAAGCCGAGAGAAACAGAACCACCAAGTGACGACCTCATGTAACTAATAATACAAGAGAACACAGTGAGGAAAGGTGAAAGGGTGAGAAGTTAAGAAGTGTTTGCAGTTTGGTATTATGTGCTGGGCGCTGCACTTGGGAAAGGATAGACTCGACTCACAACAAGGATGTTGACATGACCCATTTCACAAGGCTTTCTGGACATCAGTCTCACCTGCCAGGACTGTGAGCTTCTTACACTCTTCTATTTCTGAAAAGCAAACAAAATATTTATGAAGTATTTTTATTTCAACAGTGAATGATTTTCTTGCTCTCACAGATGTGCCTCATGAATTTCATATTAACTTTTAAATTGTTTCAATAGTTACCTTTTTCTATGTCTTTAATCTCCGCTTCTAGAAAAATAATAGTGGTTAAACACATTAGTTTTGAATGCTCCTTCATTAGCAACACAGCAACCTGCAAAGGTGGGATATTATGTGCGTGACAGATATTTGTCGATAACAATTTCAACATGAGTTTACAACTGACACAACGATACAGTGAACAACGTGCAACTATCTGAGTAATCCATTGTCTGTACAAGTGATTTCTTCAATATTTACAACCAGCTACTAATACAGATTTATATAAAAGTTAAACACCCTGAATTCTCAGCGAAAACAAAAGCAGAATAACCTACACAGAAGAAGGTTATCACCAACCAAACATCTCATCACAATATTTAAATAAGTAAAAAAGTATTCTTACTTAGGGCAGAGATTTTTGCTTTAAGATCATCCTCTTCTGATAAAATTGACAAGAAATCTATGAAGCATTTGTGTCATCCGTTCACTGCTGTTTTGCAGCGTCCAATATTTTGCATTTCCACAGTCAGGGCCAAACCCAGGAGAAAAGCATCACAACACACACAGAAATGGGAACGCAAATAAATGTATGTTGAATGGAACTGAAATGTACCCTGGAGGTGGGAAATAACTGACCAATATAGTAAAACTTTCAAACGGGCAAGTAACTACCTTTCTTCTTTACATCCACCGGTTTCTTTTCCTCTCTTGGTTTGGCTTCATCTGCTTGGTCTGGTTCTTTTCCTTCTTCTGTTGGGTCAGATTTCTCAGTGTGATGAACATTTTAAAATTATTTTTTTTCACCATGAAAATCCTTAGTTCGTATTAAATGGCCAACAACAAAATTTAATTTGTAAAACGCCTTTCACATCGGGAGGACATCCAAAAGCATTGGACTTTGAGTATTTGGTACCCGAATTAGTGGTCGAGATCGGGGAGGTTGGAGGGCAGGGTGGGAAGGAGTGTGATTGAAGGGAACGGACAGGGAAGAGGGACTGCAGCATGGAGTTCCAGAGGGTGGGGGCAGGGTTGAAGGGTTGAATGGCAGGGCGGGCAAGGCGTGGGAAGTGAGGCAGGCGGAAGCCCACTGAGGGGAGGAAGCAAGTAGGTTGGTAGGGTTCTGGAAGTCCAGAGGTCATGGGAGAGCAAGGCCTTGGAGGAGTTTGAAGGTGAGGACTAGGATCTTGAACTGTATTGTGTATCTTTGTGGAGTCCTGTAGTTCAGTGGTTCGAGCACTCACTTTGCAAGTGAGAGACCTGAGTTCAATTCCAGGCAGAGGGCGAAACCTTGGGTAAGTTTCCTTACTCCACACAGAGCCTTATAATAATCCCTCCAAAACACAAAAACAATAATAAATTGGTCATTTTCAATCTACGACTGTTTGTGGGACATTGCTGTGCGCAATTGGCTGCCGCGTTCGCCCACAAATATACAGTCAATTCACTTTACAGTGTGTTCTGTGAAGCGCTTTGGGACGTCCTCCCGACGTGAAAAGCACTGTATCAAATGCAAGGATTATTATTATTATTATTATTGTCTGTGTCATAGGAAGCCAGTGGTGTCGGGCGAGGTTGGGGATATGCAGAGAGATCTTGGGGAGAGCTCTACTGGCTCCGTGAGGTGCAGTGTGCATCCTTGGTGTGGGGGAGATGACAGGAGACAATCAGGAGAGCCTCGGTTTTGTTCACATCAATTGAAGAAAGTTAGCTCTCATCCCGGCCTTGATGTCTGACTGACATTCTGTAGGACAGCAGTTGTCCTGGAGTCGGGGGAGAGGCAGAGAGATAGAGTTGAGTGTCATCCGCATACATGTGGAAGTTGACCCCGTGTCTGTGGATGATGTCCCCAAGAGGGAGCAGATAACAAAAAGCTGTTTTCTTACTCGCAGCTTTCAGTCTTGCTTGGCAAGAGGTTTGTTCTGCAAAGCAAACACAGATGAGAGGAAAAGATATAATTTCCATGTGAAAGTAATTTGATGGTAAACGCTGCACAGTCGATGATCAATTTAGTTCAAGGAAAGAAGATTCTGCACTTTATGTCAGTCTCTGTAAAACAGTTTTTTTTGTCCAGTTTTATATCTGTTCCGACTAACGAAAGGAAACAACACCCAAGTTTCAGGTGATCATGTTACATAAAGCAAATCGACGGCAATACCTTTTTCTCTTTCAGTAAGTAGCTTCTCTGTTGGGCAAAACAGTAATTAACACACAGTGAACTATAACCCTTGAACGGAGAGACTGAAACAAACAATCAGTTACATACATCACTTATATCATAACTAGAATTCATTTATATATAACATGCAAATAAACCCTTTGCTTCATTTTAAAAGAGAAAATCAATTCATGTTTGTTCCGCACCTTTTTCTTTCAAGGTCCCATCAACCTTCTCAAATTCTAAACACAAGAGATAAAGTGTAAATGAGATGCCAGTGATTGTTAATGACAATAAGATGACTATGTTTTGAAATGTAGGGAAATGATAGAAAAATAAACATTCATGCAATTGGATTTTACCTTCCAATTGCTTCTTATTCGCCTTTTCTGCTCAAATCAACAAAAATATAAGTATTATTTCTCACCAGCCTTGGTCACAAAAGTACAGGTTCACAATACAACGTGTCCTCATTTCCTCCCACCTCGGCTAAAATATGGAATTGGCTGCAGTTAAGAACAATGTATGTACCGCACATGTTCTTTTCTAAACAGCTTTACATATCCACCACGTTCTCACCTATGTTATCCAGTAATATTCCACACGCTTTCTTTTCTGGAAATTACATTATAATTCTTTGTGTTAACAACAAACTATAGCAGCTTTGCAAACTGTGTAAGTTTCGTCTTGCAAAATATTGCAGTATTAAATTGAATACAAACATTGCAATAAAAACAGTAATCGAAGCTGAAAGATAATTTCTTAAAACATATGAAATCTTCAATCATTTATCAATACATACCGTCTTGTAACATGATCAGCTTTTTCACTGTAAAAATAATTATGTACAAATATATATGAAAGAACCTTATGTTTGATTGTTAAATTAATTCAATTATGTTCACTTATAAAAGAACCAAATATTAGTTGCCCACGAATCTACCTTCTGGTGTTAGTTTACCATCGGCTTTTTTTTCTAATGGAATAAAAGGATCAGAATATTAGATTTGCAAAGGACCTCATCTACAATTGTGGTGGATGTGATAACATGGCAGAGCTCAAGAATGTGGTTTCCAACAATCGTTCAAAGAAATACAACACATTGTTCAAGGAACTTCTGATCATAAGGGCAACAAATACATCACATCCAACGTGTGTATAGATATGTAGACTTTATACTCACGCGCAGCTTTCAATTCTTTCTGACAATCAGCCAGTTCTGAAAAACAAAGATCAGCCGAATTTACTATATCACAATAAAATAGACACACAATAAACCTGCCAGATGTACATTGTTTACAATGCTATTGAATTTATTTCTATTAAACGGTAACCTGAGCAAAAAGAAAAATATCAGTGAAATTCGAAATCAATCGTAGTGTAACAACATCCACCTTCTCACAATCTACCTGTTTTCTTGTCGTCCCGTTCTGCTTCTGTAAATATGATCAGGTTTAAAGAATTATTGGTGAAATGCTTTTCTTCAACATAGTCTACAAAGTTCGGGAGGTTGTGCGAATGGTGTAGTGCAGCTCAGGATGTTTCAGGTTACATTTACAATAATAATACCTCAGAGGAAACAGAAAACACAATGATTTGCCCTCACCTAAAGCTTTCTCATCATTAGCCTCTACAAGTCAAACACGGAATTCATTAATTATTATTACATCAATCTTTGCATTTGATTTAGTGCCTAAAGTCAAGTCCTCAAAAAGCATTTCTTATGGAATTATTCTGAATCGCATATAATGGGCATTTAAAGGCATTGACGGCCCATTAACATCCCACATCCATAAGGCCATTGAGGAATGTATTGAGGATATTTGGCCTGGCATTTGTCACAGTGGGAAAGGATTATCTCCAGGTCTCCTGGCCAACAATGTTTACAGTTATTAAGATATTTAGCCCTTAAACAAGCTCCAAAAATGAAATAATTCTACTCACTGTATTTTCTCAGCTCTTCTCGACATTTTTTCAGTTCTGGAAACAAAACCCAAATATATTCAACACCTTTTCACTGAAATCAGTTTCAAAATACTAATTGTTTGATATTCAATACAAACAATTGACCAACAAACAGAGCATCATTGACATCCCCAAACTTCAAACCTTTTTCTGCTTCTTTTAGATCTGTCTGACATTTGGTTACTTCTGGAAACCAAAACAATGAACGGGTTAAACATTTTCATTTCAAGCCATAGATGGTCCATTTGGGAATCAGAGGCACATTTCAACATTTCACAAGAAACAAAAGATTCGTCTGGAGACAATGTTAGAAGCAAAATGAAGAATGACCATCTCCTCCCTTATCTCCTCCCTCAACCTTTCCCTCCACATCCACTCCACACCCTCGTCCACTCCCTCGACCTTGTGATCACTCGGGGCCTTACCGTCTTGGACTTCACCATCATCGACATAGTGACATTGGACTATCATTCATCTCTTTCAAAACCTCAATGACTCTCCCAATCGGCACCCAGCCCACCACCATCTGCTACCGCGCCTGGGAAAAATCTCCTCCCCACCATCTTGGCTGTCTTGCAGTCATCTGAACTCCTTCCACTCTGGGCTCGCTCCCGCAATGACCAATCCTCCTTCGTCACTCTCCTCCACAGCTCCCTCTCCTCCAATCTGGATTCGCTTGCTGCCCTCACTTCCTGAACCGTCTCCCACTCGTGAAAGTCACCATGGTAACAATAATAATAATAATCCTTGCATTTGATATTGCGCTTTTCACGTCGGGAGGACGTCCCAAAGTGCTTCACAGAATATACTGTAAAGTGAATTGACTGCATATTTGTGGGCGAACGCGGCAGCCAATTGCGCACAGCAATGTCCCACAAACAGTCGTAGATTGAAAATGACCAATTTATTATTGGTTTTGAAGGGATTATTATTAGGCTCTGTGTGGAGTAAGGAAACTTGCCCAAGGTTTCGCCCTCTGCCTGGAATTGAACTCAGGTCTCTCACTTGCAAAGCGAGTGCTCTAACCACTGAGCTGCAGGACTCCACAGATACACCAGCCACCTCCGCTGCCTGAAAGCACAGGTGTGTGCCACTGAACACAACCGGTTTAAATAGAACTTATGGTCCATAGGCAGATCTGGCTGGACCTTATCAAATCTTAATGCTCCCACTCGCCTCCGCTAAATCGTCTTTCTACTCTTGGACAATCTTTGAGGCCAAGGACAATCCCAGGCTCATCTTCTCCATCACCAACTGGCTGATCTGCCCACCCTCTCATGCCTCGCCCAACCCCATCTCCAATACCAAGTGCGAGGCCATGCTGGTTTTCCTCCAATCAAACGTTGAGGGGATCCACTCAGTAGCCTCTGTCCTTCCATTGCCTACCCCCTCCACCTCTCCTTTTCTCAGTCCGGCCCCTACCCATCCCTCCACACACACTTTCGAATCTGTCTCCCCCTCCTCTCTCATCACAACTATAACCCACATGAAACCGATCTTCTGCTTAATCAATGCCATCCCTACACATCTGCTTTCCTCCCAGTTCCACCTCCTTCACCTCTACTCACAAACATCATAAACCTCTCCCTGTCCACTGGTAAGGTTCCCACCACTTTCAAGATGGCTGTCATCAATCCTACCCTTAAAAAACCCTCCCTAGACCCATTCCTTTCCTCAAACTACATCTCCATCTAAATTTTCCCTTTCCTCTCCAAAGTCCTGGAATGAGTTGTTGCTTCCCAGCTTCACTCCTTCATCTCCCGCCATTCCCTTCACAATTCGCTTCAATCGAATTTCGGCTCCGCCCACAGCACAGAAACAGGTGACAAATAACATTCTGTCCATATGCGACAAAGCCTCCCTCTGCCTCCTCGTCCTCCTTGACCGCACTGCTGCCTTCAACAATCTATCCTCATCCACCGTCTCTCCTCTCACCTCAACCTTCATAGTTCTGTCCTTGACTGGTTCAGATCATACCTCTCACAGTACCTCCACTTCCTCTCCACAAACGGCTTCTCCTCTAGCCCCCGCACCATCTCATGCAGCGTTCCTCAGGGCTCTGTCCTTGGTCCTCTCCTCTTCAACTTCTATGTGCTTCCTCTTGGTGACATCATCTGCAGACATGCGGTCAACTTCCACATGTATGCCGATGACCCAACTGTACATCTCTGAGTCCAGGACCACTGCTGTGCTGTCAGAATGTCTGTCAGACATCAAGACCTGGATGAGAGCTAACTTTGTTCAATTAAAAGTCAACAAGACTGAGGCTCTCCTGATTGGCTCCCATCAGCGCCTCCCCACCTCTGCCACATTGCCCGTCTCTGCCAATGTCTGACACCGCAAGCTGCCCAAACCCTTTTACACGCATTCACAATATCGAGGCTTGACTTGGAAAATGCTTTGAGGGTTGGCCTCCAAATTTCTGCATCCATAAGTTGCAGTTCATCCACAAACCTGCAGCTCGTGTCCTCTCCGACAACAGTCTCCATGATCCTATCACCCCCATCCCAAGCCCGACTCCACTGCCTTCCCATCACTCAGAGGATAAATCTCAGGATCCTGGTCCTCACATTCAAAGCCCTCCAAGGACTTGTAACCCCCTAACTCTGCATCCTCCTAAAATCCTATCATCCTGCCCACTCCCTTCGCTCAGTGGACTCCGACCTGCTTCACATCACCCGCCTCACCCACCTCACAATTGGCAGGTGTGCCTTCTGCCATCTGCCCCTACCTTCTGGAACTCCATCCCACAGTCCCTCCGCCTCACACCCTCCCTTGGCTCCTTCAATACCTATATTCTTACTCTCTCTTTGACCATGGGTTTGACTAACTTGCTTTCCCCAATGTCTTCCACCTTCCCAATCCCGACCATCAGTTCCGAAGCACTAAATGTCCAGGATCTTGGAATGTCCTCCCTATCTGAAAGGCGTTATTGTGCTGCTGTTGTTGCTGTTCACGCATTCCAGTTAATTATTGCATAATACACAACGATTGTTTAACTTTGATCACCATTGTGTAATGAAATGCCTCTTGATATCTGCCTTAAATTGCTCTTCATACGCCTCACCTATTTTCACCAATTTTCACATTGTGAGCAACATAACAACTAACATCCCTTCTCCCAAATCTTTAAATGAATTATATATTCTTACTTGCTGCTTTTATCTCTTCTTCACAAGTGTCTCTTTCTGAAAAAGAACATTTGATGAAGCAAATTTGTTTCAATCAATCGACAGATGGCTTCAGATTGTGTTATCGACTGCCTCTCCGAAGGAGGACAAACACAAGGAGAGGACGATCCACGAACAACCCATTTGGTGCCTTCAATGAAGGGAATCTGATATCAAAAGAGGAACCGAGAGATTGTAATGGATATCAGTGATCAAATGTTTGACAAATCTCATCTCTCAGATCAATGCAATTACCTTTATCATTCTTTTCAATTGATTCCTCTGTTAGGGAAAACAAGAGATTGCGGGCTCTCAAATATATTATGTAATTTAATTATATTGATTTATAAGACGCAAACTGCACGTTCTGCAAAATTCCAACATCTTATTTCTGCTTCTGAACCTGAATTCTATTTAATATTCTATGATATATCATGTGCACATACATAAGTCTATATTTATATAATTTAAAACACACTATTTTCTATACCTGTAGTTTTCAAGCTTTCTTTCGCTTTCTCTAAATCTAAAACAAAAAAGATAAACTATTCAGCTATGTAACAGCTGTTTAGATCCTCCCTTGATTCTGGTGAATGCCTTGTTCCTGTTTAGTTTGGGAGGGTGTGATTTTTTAAATCTGAGTGTGTATGTTTTGCTATATGTCGTTGTTGACTGTTTGTTTGTAACTATATCTGAGATTAAAGATGGCATCACTTTGAGCGGAATCATGATTTCAAAAGACGTTTGCTTTTTGACATTCCAATTAATCAAGAAAAACATTTTCAACATTTCAGTCAAATCAAAAATTTATTTACAACAAATGAAATCATAGCATTGACACTGTGATGTGTAACAGCATATGAGCATTTACCTGCCGTTTGTTTAATTTTAAGATCCTCTGTAAGAAAAAACTACTATTAAGATTCATAATTATGCATATATTCCTGTGGATATCAATTGTATAATCAGCAGAAAATATATCATTTGACTATTTAAACTCAGAAACCTCTTCCCTACCTGCTTCCTTTAGTTTCGTTTTACACTCTTCCAGTTCTGAAAAACAGAGTGATTTTTTTCTTACATAACACAATAGTGTCATGAATTGGGGACAACTCTTCTTCCACTGTATTAGTATTTCAGATAGAAACTCACAACCACCATCACAACATGAAGCCACTGACACCCCGACCCCAACACAAACAATGACACATTTGAGCACAACAACCCAGTGTGATCTAACTGATTCCTCGCAAACTGATGTATCTGAGGATATATGTGAGGAGAGACACTGTGAAACAAGAACTGATCAGAGCAGAACCGTAATCGTGTCTTCTCACAAGAAAAATATTCAGGTCAAAGCAACAGAAGCCAAAGAATGTGATGTTGATCAAATTTTAAAGCTCACCTGTCCCTGCACTTCCTGTTTTTAATTCTATTTTTGAAAAGCCATAAAATTAGTTTAGATTGAGGGAATTCTCCAATGGAAAATGTTCAACAAGAACAAAATGACCCCATGTCTGGGGATGATGTCACCGAGGGGGAGCACATAGAGTGTAAAGAGGAAGGGACCGAGGACAGTGCCCTGAGGGATACCACACGAGACAGTGCGGGGACCGGAGGAAAAGCCGTATGTGGAAACAAAATAAAGACGGTGGGAGAGGTACGACTTAAACCACTCAAGGACAGGGCCTTGAAGGTTGAGGTGGGATGACAAGCGGTGGAGGAGGATAGCGTGGTCGACCGTATCCAATGCTGCCGATAGGTCGATGAGGACGAGGAGGCAGAGGGAGCCCTGGTCGCAGATGGTCAAGATGTCATTGGTGACCTTGACTACGGCGGTTTCAGTGCTATGGGCAGCACGGAAACCCGACTGAAGGGGTTCGAGTAATGCATGGGTGGAGAGGGAAGAGCGCAGCTGGGAGGCGACAACTCTTTCAAGGACCTTGGACAGGAAGGGCAGGTTGGAGATGGGCCGGTAGTTTGATAGCTGCAACGCATCAAGGGCGGCTTTTTTCTAAGTGGGAGTGATGGTGGCAGTTTTTAGGGGTTTATTTAACACAAATAATCTGGGCTTACTTGCTGTTTCCTCGTCCTCTGCAACAACCTCTTGCTCTAAAGTCCAAGCAAAGAATCCATTAAGCACTGCGTGAGAATACACTCATTGCCTGTTGCTGACTTTGCCCCTTGAGCCGGGCAGCCAGAAAAGAAGCCGAGAGAAACAGAACCACCAAGTGACGACCTCATGTAACTAATAATACAAGAGAACACAGTGAGGAAAGGTGAAAGGGTGAGAAGTTAAGAAGTGTTTGCAGTTTGGTATTATGTGCTGGGCGCTGCACTTGGGAAAGGATAGACTCGACTCACAACAAGGATGTTGACATGACCCATTTCACAAGGCTTTCTGGACATGAGTCTCACCTGCCAGGACTGTGAGCTTTTCACACTCTTCTATTTCTGAAAAGCAAACAAAACATTTATGAGGTATTTTTATTTCAACAGTGAATGATTCTCTTGCTTGGGGAGAGCCAAACTCCAACCTACGGCTGCCGTTTCCTTTCCAACACAGTAAGAGGAACACATCACATTCACAAGAATCATCAACACTTGAAATCCCAATGCACACACACGATGAAAGAGGTTGAGGTTACATAACAAATATCCACACATCAATAACTGTATAAACTGAGGCGTAATCAATGTTTCTCATATTGCGTTTCAACCTCTTCTTGTTTTTCCCACAACCATCAGAACATAAAATATTTCAATAGAAGTGGTATCTTTACAGCGAAAGGTGCAGAAGCTCATAGTAATAGATATGAGTCATGAATTTCATATAAACCTTTAAAACATTTCAGTATTTACCTTTTTCTATGTCTTTAATCTCCGCTTCTAGAAAAATAATATTGGTTAAACACATTAGTTTTGAATGCTCTTTGATGTGGAGTCCTGTAGCTCAGTGGTTAGAGCACTCGCTTTGCAAGCGAGAGACCTGAGTTCAATTCCAGGCAGAGTGAAACCTTGGGCAAGTTTCCTTACTCCACACAGAGCCTAATAATAATCCCTCCAAAACAAAACACTAATAAAAAATTGGTCATTTTCAATCCATGACTGTTTGTGGGACATTGCTGTGCGCAATTGGCTGCCGCGTTCGCCCACAAATATACAGTCAATTCACTTTACAGTGTGTTCTGTGAAGCGCTTTGGGACGTCCTCCTGACGTGAAAAGCGCTATATCAAATGCAAGGATTATTATTATTATTATTATTATTATTATTAGCAACACAGAAACCTGTAAAGGTGGGATATTATGTGTGTGATGAGGTTTTGCGACAGATGTTAATCGATGAAAATTACAACATGAGTTTATAACTGACAGAAGCGTATAGTTCAAAACATGCAATTATCTGATTAATCCATGGTCTGTACAAGTGATTTCCTCAATATTTCCAACCAGCTACTAATACAGATTTACCAGCAGGTTAAACACTCTGAATTCTCAGTGAAGACAAAAGCAGAATAACCTACACAGAAGAAGGTTACAACCAACCAAACATCTCATCACAATATTTAAATAAGAAAAAACGTATTCCTACTTAGAGCAGAGATTTTTTCTTGCTCAGCCTCTTCTGAAAAAAACATCCAATATTTTGCATTTCCACAGTCAGCTCCATACTCAGGAGAAAAGCAACACAACACACACAGAAATGGGAACCCGAATAAATGTATGTTGAATGGAACTGAAATGTACCCTGGAGGTGGGAAATAACTTACCAATATAGTAAAACTTTCAAACGAGCAAGTAACTACCTTTCTTCTTTACATCCATCTTTTCCTCTCTTGGTTTGGCTTCATCTGCTTGGTCTGGTTCTTTTCCTTCTTCTGTTGGAGTCAGATTTCTCAGTATGATAAACATTTTAATTGCTTGCTCAGAATGAAAACGCATCGTATATCTCAAATGGCCAAAATGACAAATACGAATCACATTTCACTTCTAATAATTAAAAGCTATATTCTTACTCGCAGCTTTCAGTCTTGCTTGGCAAGAGATTAATTCTGCAACAACGATAACATTAAATGACTTCATTCCATTATAAAGATTGTTCAATTTTGTAGCCTTATAGTCGATGGCCAATTTATTTCAATGCAAACAGAGATAGTGGTAGGCTTGTGGGGGGGAGGGGATAATAATAATAATAATAATAATAATAATCCTTGCATTTGATATTGCGCTTTTCACTTCTTCTAGATGTCCCAAAGCGCTTCACAGAATATACTGTAAAGTGAATTGACTGTATATTTGTGGGCGAACGTGGCAGCCAATTGCGCACAGTAATGTCCCACAAACAGTCGTGGATTGAAAATGACCAATTTATTATTGTTTTTGTTTTTTTGGAGGGATTATTATTAGGCTGTGTGTGGAGTAAGGAAACTTACCCAAGGTTTCGCCCTCTGCCTGGAATTGAACTCAGGTCTCTCACTTGCAAAGCGAGTGCTGTAACCACTGAGCCACAGGACTCCACCTCCAGGATTGTGGAGGTTGGGGGTGAAGGTGGGGTGGGGTGGGGATGTGGTGGGTGGAGCTGTGGAGCGGGTGTTGAAAGGAAAGTAAGATTGTGCTCTTTACGTTGGGTGAATTACTCGATGTATTTGACTGTTATGGTGTGGGAGCACAAGGTTGGAAGGAGCAATGCACACATTGCTGGGGGTGCCGTGCGTCAGACAGGAGGTTAATCCAAGCTCCGCATCTGTGCCGTTCGAGTGGGAATGACATGTCCCACTGTTCTGTATGAAAAGAAAAGGCTGTTCCTTTCTCCAAGATACTGACCAACTAAACCCCAGATAAAATCTGTCATACACATCATGGCTGCTTGTGGATCATTGCAATGTTTACAAAACACAATAACTAGTTTGCAGTTAATCCAGTGAAGGGATTTGAGACACCCCTCGATGTGAAAGGCGCAAAACCGAATGTAACGATTATTGTGAGCAATCTTATCATAATATAGTTTAGGGTAAAAAAAAATTCTCCCGCACCAGGCTCTGTGACTCTATCACCCTCATTCTTGCCCGACTCCACTGGCTTCCCACCACACACAGGATAGGGTTCAAAATCCTTGTCCTCACTTTCAAATCCCTCCATGGCCTTGCTCCCCCCTACTTCTGCAACATCCTAACCCCCTAACAACCTGCCAACTCCCTCCACTCAGCGAGCTCCGGCCCAATTCACGTCCCCCGCCTCGCCCGATCCACCATTGGTGGGCAGAGCTTCAGCCACTCTGACCCCACCCTCTGGAACTCCATCCCGCAGTCCCTCCGCCTCGTCCCCCTCCCTTGCCATCTACAAGACCCATCTCAAGACTCTCCTCTTCGACCTGCCTATGATAACCCTCCTTCCCCCCCTGCCCTCCACCCTCCCTGATCCTGACCCCCCAGCTCAGGTCCGAAACACTGTTTGTCCAACACCTTGGGATGTCCTCCTGCTGTGAAAGGTGCTTTGCAAATGTAATTTTGTTGTTGTTGCACGTTACATTAGGTCGCTGTAAAACGGCTTGTGCAGTCCCTTTAAACATACATTAAAAAAGATGCTTAGATTGACCACATTTCAGATGGATCTTGTCATAGTGGTAAATCAGTGGCAATACCTTTTTGTCTGTCAGTAAGTTTTTTCGCTGTTGGGCAAAGTCATAGTTCACAGTCCGTGAAATGCATTATATAATACAACTGTGTCAGAATATCAGTTATCATCTGTATGTGATACAAGATTCAACAACAGATTTATTTGGGTTTAATCATAAAATGTTAAGCAACAATCAATCGGTAATAATAATAATAATAATAATCCTTGCATTTGATATAGCGCTTTTCACGTCGGGAGGACATCCCAAAGCGCTTCACAGAACACACTGCAAAGTGAATTGACCGTATATTTGTGGGCGAACGCGGCGGCCAATTGCGCACAGCAATGTCCCACAAACAGTCGTAGATTGAAAATGACCAATTTATTATTGTTTTTGGTTTTGGAGGGATTATTATTAGGCTCTGTGTGGAGTAAGGAAACTTGCCCAAGGTTTCGCCCTCTGCCTGGAATTGAACTCAGGTCTCTCACTTGCAAAGCGAGTGCTCTAACCACTGAGCTACAGGACTCCAATAAATAAGCTATTGTGAGTATACAATATTTGTCATATATTTTATTATGAAAAACATTATAATATAATGTTGATTGTTTTGTCAATAAAATACAGTCTATCCATTTTACAGTGTGTCCAGTGAAACGCTTTGAGCGACGTGATAAGGTCCTATATCAAATACAAGGATTATTATTATCATATATGATATACAGATAATGTACATAAAAAAGAAGCCATTCACTGTTAAAGGAGTGAATTAATTATTTCTCTCACTTTTGTCTTCCAGGTTATCATCAATCTGTTTCTTTTCTAAACAAACAAAAGTAGCTCTTTATTTGGCTGGAAAAAGATAATACTTGAAGATTTGAATGAGATGCTTGAGTTTATATTATTTTGGTCAGCCGGATGTCTGACACATGCGGAAACCCATCACCATGCTTACGAACCAATCTGAGGTTTCTATGCACCCCGCCTACACTTGGAAATTCAAGATACATTATGGGAATGGAATGTGGACTCTCTCGCTGGAGGGACTTATCCTGCTTACCTAATTCCGGAAAGTATGAGGCAAGGTTTGAGGTCCCCACGGTGTGCGTTGGGGCGACTGCTGGAGTCTAACCAGTAAAAATTGCATTGCTTGTTATTGATAAGCTTTCCTCCTGCTTGTCCAACTGGGCCCAATCTGTCTGTCAGGGCTTTGGCTGGAAGGGTTAACAGGACCTGAGTGGGAGGATTCCCTGCCCCCAGTGACTGTCTTTGAGTTAACTCCATGTAAATATTGGGTTGCTGGAGCAGCAAAAATGCAGTGTCTAAACTTAGAGATAAGAATCCCTTTGACGTTCAATGACTTTACCTTCAGATAGTTTCCGATTCATGACTTCTGCTCAAATAAAAATAGCTCATTGATAGTCAGAAGGTTAAAAGCAGCAAATAATTCTTCAACTTTTACTCCAAGTGTCTTGGATATTCCTAAATTACAATCTCCATTTGTCAAATATATTATGACATAGGGACTCGCATCATGAAGAGACTTGAACCAAGTTCTCACCTGTTTTTTCCAATGATTTTTTACACATTTTCAATTCTGAAAAGTAAAATCTCAACCTTGGGGTTACTGTGCAAATGAATAATATTACTATGTGTCCTCTGTATTGCATGTTGCATTTGTTTTTAGTATATAACCACATTGATGATAATACAGCCCGCCCTGAGATAAACGTCAAGCTTAACACAGCAGCTGCATTGGTGACGGAGGGAGAACAGGAGGCCAGAGCCAGCCGAGCAGAAGTAGCAGAGGGTGAACAACAACAATTACATTTGTA